AAAAGAACTTTTGTCAAAGAAGTTAACTATTGTAGGAACCCTGAACAGAAACAAGGCTGAATTCCCACCAAGTTCGTCCAAACAAAAACTAGGAACGGTTATTTTATCTATTTTGGGTTCTAAAAGAACGCGACAATAGTATCGTATGTGCCTAAAAATCCAAAATGTGTTAGTTTTGTTATCTACAATGCATTACGATGATGCCATTGATAAAAGTGATGATACGAAGAAACCAGAAATAATTTACTTCATAATGCAACAAAAGGTGGTGTAGATAAAGTTGATGAAATGTATCGTTATATTCGACATCTCGAAACCAATAGGATGGCCAATGGTCGTCTTTTACTGTGGTTGAACGTCACTGCAATAAATACCCGAGTTGCTTTATTCCCAACAAAGACCCCTCCCTTACAATATGGAATAGTAGAAAATTCCTAAAAATTTGGCTATATCTCTATACAGTGCCTTACATAGAGATTACAACAAAATATGTCAACGTTTCCTAAAGTGATTCGTGAAAGCATCGATGATGTGACTTCTAGTGTATCAGAAGAACGCCCATCAAGAAACCAAAACTGGAAAAAGGCCGATGTGCTATGGTCCAAGATCCAAAGAAAAAACTACAATTTCTTGCAAAATTGGTGATAATTTTCATGTAAAATTCATTCTTCCTATGTTTGGCAGAAGTGTATGTTAGCTTCTGATTCCTGATTAGGTATATACTTATTTTGAATGGATTTTTTTTTTCTTAATATTGAAATAAGTTTTTAAAGTAAAGAGTATAGTTCTAAATGAAATATTGCAATTATTGTTTATAATCAAATGATTTCTATAAAATATATAACACATTTTCCTAATGAAACTGCTTGGGGTGTTTTAAGTAAAGAAGTATAGTTTCTAAATGAAATATTGCAATTATTGTTTATAATCAAATGATTTCTATAAAATATATAACACATTTTCCTAATGAAACTGCTTGGGGTGACGCTGTCACCCCGCGCGATCTCCAATGTCAGTGTTGGGTGAGCGCCTTCTGCCGGGCTAAAGATCTAAACCCAAATCTCTTGTAGTTCACTCCGCAGTTCCTTAGAGCCGACAAGTGAAAGAAGCAGGCTTCTGATGCAATTGTTGCTCCTGGTCACCTTTGACCAGGCTGTCTATCAATTAAAACAATGCTTAAAAAGCAGCTTCAAACTCCTGATATGATACTTTGAGGAATATTCAAATCTTAGATGACCTCCATCTGTAGACTTCCCTTAATTCTACCAATTATTCACCACTTCAGACCTTCATTTAAATTATGCCTTTGAACCATAACTACTGAATACTAATCACTTTCATAAACCACATTCACTTTTAACAAGACTACAGACCAGAATTCCAAAATGTGTCCGCTGCGCACCACATTGTCAATCACTGAATTTGCATATTTTCAGCACTAATACATGCTGGGAAGTGCAATTTTGTGTTCAATTGCATTTAATTAACATAAATACACTCTTTTGCAAAAAAAAAATCGAAGCCTCAAGAAGGACTTTTGCGATCGTGACAAAATTTGGTATGCAAAATCATCTTGATCAAACATGCAAATGATTTCAAGTTTCAAGGCAAATGAACAGGAATTGCGATCATAGCACACATTTCTAGTGCGCAATTTGCTAAGTATAAAACCAGTAACAGAGGCAAAAAATTTATCTTTTTTTTTTTTTTTTTTTTTTTTTGCTGCCATTGTAGTTCCGTAAGGAAGCAACTAAAGATGCCATTACGACGATATCGAAGGACCTCACAGACAACTTAACGACTTCGAACATGGATCACATTGTAGGAGTTGCGTGAAGCTAGGTGGCCATACCGAGCAATAGGCCGCCAGCCTGCTAGCGTACAGACACTGCTGTGCAAAGATGTTGGCAGCAATGGTTCCTACAAGGAAATTGCCAACAAAAGGAAGATTCTGGAAGGCCAAGGAGCACAAATATGAGGCAGGATAGGATGATTGTATACTAGGCCCGAATTGCCCCAACGTCCACTCCAGACGATTCAACACACTACACCCAAGTCTATACCTTCTGTGGTAACGTCCACCATCTCGCGAGGCTCTTGTCTGAGGTGGGTTACATTCACAGATTACGTTTGCCTTTGACCCCACAACAACAGCAGAGTCATCTGGAGTGGGCGTCCGATCATCATGGCTGCCATCAAACTGACATCGTATAGTGTTCAGCGATGAATCCCACTTCACTCTTGAAGCAGATGACCACCGTGTTCATGCCCGAGAGGACGGGGACAGCGGTCCCAATCAGCCTTTGTTTTACAAAGGCATACAGCCATAACCCCTGGCATGATGGTGTTATTATTATTTATCATTATTCCACCGGCTTCACCTCTCAAAGGGCACTATAGGTCAGTCATGTTATTCTGATCATTGCACCAACAACCTTTTTTTGGTTGATTATCTTTTCAACCTTATTATTGATAAACAGATTTAACATTAATTATTACTTTTGTTGGGTGGGTACTACTTTGGTAGACGGTTGCACGGATTTTTGGCGATTTACATTGGCGCAATTGTTGGCGTGGTTTTTACAGTCGTCAGCCATCTTGAAAAATGCTGTTTTTATGTATTTCACGCATAGTAAAGTATTCGAAACTTTAAAAAAATAAATATCGTTAAAAATAATGGATTAATTTTTTTGTTGAAAACGTTTTTTAAGATGGCTAGCAAATGTAAATAAAAAGATTTACTAAGAGTATAAAATGCTAAAGTAAGGTTAAATTATTACTTTCATATAATAGAATAAAAACATCGCTATAAAAATTAAACGAATTACGGTTCTTTAATCGGAAAAGGGGGGGGAATTGGGAAAAAATGTGGAAATTTTGTATTTAGCTTTATTCTGTGTTGTGTGAAACAGTGTTGTTTAATTTTTGCATCCCATGGCCCTAACTAAAGTGAATTCGAAATGGGTATTTAGGCATTGTGATAAAGAGAAGTTTGCTTTTTATTTAGCAGAGGAAGTATGGAGGAAAAATTCGCAGAAAAAATCTTTCAATAGTTTTTATTGAATGAATTAGAAAAGTGTATCCGCCATGTAATCAAGATTCTGAAGAGATTAGGTAAGTTAGTATTTTTAATTATTTGAGGATATTATTTTATGCATTGTGTTCTAAATGTAAGGTGGAAAGGAATTTGGTATTATTGGGAAAATTGTTATTTAGCAATGATTTAGTTTAAAGTAATTAGGATTGTAAGGTAATTTTTATTAATTTAATGTATGTGCTCATTTATATTTTAAGTAGTGTTTTGAATTTAATTATATTTTAATGAAATGATAGTTATTTTGTGAATTTTATGTTTTGTAGGAATTTGGTATACGTTTAAGTTGAAATAAACGTGCATGGAAATAATTTAAATATTTGATACTAAGTATTTGTAATGCTTGCGGTATGAATTCGTTAGTGACGTGTATAATGTAATAGATGATTTAGAGGTAAAAGTTTTTGGATATTTTATTTATTTTATATGTGGAAATGTTCATATTTGGAAAGGGTAAATACTTTTTCGCGATCAGGTAATTTCATATATGTTCTTTTTACCGGGTTTAAAGATTGAGAAAATTGTCATGTATTTTTGTGAAATTTTTCTAATTTATGAGAAAAAAGCAGTGTACATGGATATAGTGAAGAGTGTGCGCAATGCCATTTTTGTGCAAATCTGGGATGTTTTTTTTAAGTAAAAAAAAGTCGACGTGTACATGGTTTACGTGTATGTGTTATTTTGAAAAACGCGCAAAGAGTTTGCTATTGTGCACTTTTTTCCAATTTTGCAGTGAATATTTGTCATGATTAAGCAGTTTTGTTAGATAAAATTTCTAGCATAAGTGTAATTCGGCTAGTAGATTGTTGGAAGAAGTGTTCAGTAGATAAAAAGAAAAGAAACATGTCTTTACTTCGTGAAGACAAAATGGCGGCGGGGAAAAAAAAAATAGAGGTTTGCTGTAGGAGAGTTGGTCGCCAAATTTTCGCCAAAAAATCACCAATTTACCATAATCTAAAGATCAACCGAAATATCTTTTCAAGTTTTTATGAAAATATTAATAAAGATGTATTATCTATCAAAATTTTAATACATATAATTAAATAACTATGCAATTAAAAAATTATTGTCTTAGTTTGTTTCTTCAAAAAGAAAATTTGTACAAAAAAATTTCTTTGCAGTTTTTAAACATATATAATTACTTACATATCTTACATATTCTTTCTTTGTTATAAGAAATGTACTTATTTCAATAAACGCATTTCTTATAAAATACTTTTTTATTATCTGCATTCCCACAAAAAGAAGGCAATTCACTGCTGAATTTCTTAAGCAGGAAAAAAACATTTTTCTGGCTCATAGCTACTGTACTATTCATAAATAACAACAAAGCATTTTTAAAAGAAACGAGACATTTTATGAAAAAAAATGAAAAATCTATGCAGATGATATTTGCATTTTTAACAGCCAGTGGTCATTGCTAACTGAATCCGCGTGTATGTAAACACATGTGCAGTGCGCGCACACATGTAGATTGGCTTATATACTTAAAAATATGTCAATATTAAAAATATAGCAATTCCACTGAATATCGACACAGAGGGTGCAGATAACCTGTATCTACCTTTTTTAAGAGAAGTGCAGTTTGTTTTAAGATTGTACATTCTTCGTATTCTACAATGAGAATTCTCACATAAATCTAATTACAATGAAAGAAGGGGTTAGTGTTTTAAATTATTAGGAATAAATTATTCAGTAAATAATCTCGAACGCAAAAACTCCAAAATGGAAAAAAACTGCAAAATAGCAAGATCTTTGAAACACATCCTTAGAAAAAATATGGACGTTTAGAAATTTTCAGTGAAAGTGAATATGCTGTATCATATTGGCATTAAATTAAGTGATCTTAAACATATAAAACTCACCTATTTAACAGCATGATTACATTACACAGCAAAATACTTACTTGACCAGGAACTTGAATAGGTGTGCCTTGTCGCAACATCTGGGGTGCTATTCGCACTTGATTTCCAAGCACTAATCCTCTAGGAGCTAATGTTTTTTGCCCAAATCGAGTTGGGTTAACATTAAGAATCTGTACACTGGGAGGCAACATATTAGGATTTGTTACAACCTGAGTAACAACATTTACAGATGGATTTGACAAATGAGACACTTGATTAGGTTTGGAGGTAATCACAGATGCCTGGCCACTAAGGACCTGATAATGATTTGTTAACACTGGTGAAGGAGACTGACGTTGGTCAACCCCCGAATTTTGTAGATTATTGCAGTCTGGCCGAGACACTTGCGGAGAATTTTGTTTAGTCTTAGTATCGATTTGATTCCTAGGTGAAACATTCTTTGCGTTTAAGGCATTCAATTGTTGCTGCGAGATTGTTTGATGCTGTCCACTCTGACTCACAACTTGAATGCGAGGTTGCTGAGATGCTATATTGGCAAGATTCTGCATTGCACTCAACGTTGCAGCGCTGGTTTGCGGCCCCGTTAAAACTGGGCCACCCGAAGTCACAGTCACAATCTGTCCCGCGTTGAAATTCGAACTTCCATTATGTAAAGATGTCACTTTAAAATTATTCCGTGATAATTGATTCGATGTAATAACACCTGAAGTTACCACTGTTGAAGTAACGGGCGATGAGAACTGTGATGCTGTGGAGTGAGGTGAATAAACGAGCTTTATATCAGCACTGCTTACGTGCCTGCTTACAACGGAGGAGTTAAGCAAGGCTTGTTGCGTTGAGCTAACTTGATTTAAATAACCACTTGCAGGCAAAGCTCCAGGTAAAGAAACTATAACTGCATTCGACAAAGTTTGAGATGAAACAGCGTTCAATCCCATAATTTGAGAATTTACTAAATTCTTGTTCGTGTTCGCACTACCTTGTTCTAATAAACTGCCTAAAAGTGCACCATGTTTTTGTCCATCAGGCATTCTAGTAACGCAATCTGCGACAGATGCATTTGCTATGTGATTATTGTTGATAGAAGGAGCTGATAATTCATTTCGAGGATAATGTGCATCTGATGATGACAGCTGCGATTCAAGAGAACCGACAAGTGCACTCACCGCCGACTCGTCGATGTCTGAAGACAGCAGCATATCTTCCAACGACTTCGTCGACGCCATTTTCTACATCACTACTGAAAAATAAAAATGCGCATGCGTCGATTCTGCACCACACATCAATTGCTGATTGTAAACATAACGACACGTCGTGTTAGTGCTAATTGATGGCTGTCTTTTTCTGTGAGTCATTAAACACAGACTATGAACTATATTTTCCACACTATTTACGAATTTTGAAGCTTTTTAGTTTCATCTTTCTTTAATACAGTATAGCCCACTTTGATCATATTTAGGATTAAACCGATTTAAATTAGTAAGCGGTTTAAATTTATTATTAGCATTGTTATTTGAATATAGAATTTTAATTTAAATAAGGCTGAGAAACGTATAAAAACTGAAGTCAGTTTACAAAATTTTCCGCTCAAAATGTAAACATTTCCATTGTTGAAATGTGTTCAATGTGCATACGTGTATCTGGGCGACTTACGCAGTATGTAATGATTTAGTGACGGTATATAGTGCAAAAGTCTTTCCTATACATCTTAATTTAAATTGAAACTCTTGAGACAATAGAGGTTAGCCCTTACTTGAAATGGAAAAAAAATTATATATTTTATTACATAAAACAAAAAATTTTGATTGGAACATAATTATAAACATCTGAACGTAGCAAACGTATACTGGTGGGAGGGACAATCTCGGAAACATGTATACGCCGATCAAAGAGCTGGAGGAGGAGTTAAAAGTAAAAATTAACCATTAGCATGGCGTTTAAGATATAGAATTTTCTCAGTTCTGACATCCATGTTTCATTGTTGGTAAAATGTGAAACAAACAGTCCTCAGTAGGATCGAATGTTCATATCGAAGGAGATTTACGCATCTGTTTTCATCGCCTTGCGAAGGCAAAATTAAGAATTACAGAACTATGAGTGGAGGTATACCGTATTTAGGTAGCAAAATAAGCCTGATATCGAAGTCAGAAATTCGTTATGAAGGTATACTGTATACAATTGATACTAAGGAATCAACTGTAGCTTTGGCAAAAGGTAAATATATGTTGAACATACGTATTTTATGATTATTTTTGCATCATAGAAACTATTTATTATTTTTCAAGAATGAAATTTAGTAGTATGTGTATTTTTCTTGCACTCAAAAATAATTCTTTTTTTGGCTTTACATTGCGTACTGTTGTAATTCGATGTATAATTTCTGTGTATTTTGAATAGAAGTTCCGCTATTAATTGATGTGTCACTTTGAAAATATCAGTAAATGACCTTTTGTTAACAATGCATAAGCCTGAATAGATAACAGTGATTATTAAATGAGTAATCTCTTGATGTAAATGCAGTTAACTTGATTAAATTTGCTGTTTAATGTAATGTCTGCGATTGACTTAGTATTATATTTGATGTTTCAAAAGGTACAATGTTATGTAATTTCTTATATGTCGGTTTTAATGTTAGAGAGAGTTCTTAATTATCGATTATCGTGTAATTAATATAGTTTTATTAGTATTTTCTGTTAGTAGTTGTGAAAAATCATGTTTATTGTTGTTTTAATGAAAATTAACGAGGAAAAAGTGTAAATTAGTATTCGAATGTCTTTTTAAATATAAATATTTCTAGTGAAGATATTATTACAATTTTATAAGAAGTGAATAGTGTATTCTTACGAGATCTTGCATATGAGTTTCTCTGACTGAAATTCATGAAGCATTTGATTCTTTAAAAATTTGGCAAAATCTCATCGCATGTAATTTCTCAGATGATGGTGTCCTGTTTTCTCTGTTAATTTGCTTCAGCATCTTGAAATCCATCATAGGGTTTTCATCCGTAGAGAACCCGTTGGCGCTTCGGGAAAGAACCCCTCTGAACATAAATAAGCATTTTTACTAAACATCACTATTTTAAGATAACCTTTATGGAAAATTTAAATCTAGAACTGTGGGTTATTTAAAGTTGTTTGCTTCAAAATTAGTTATAAATAATTATAAGGTAATAGTGATCACATATTGGATTACATCCGACTTTCTAAGGGGGACTTAGCATCTAAACATATGACTCTAGTGTAGAATTGGGTGCCCCTTCGATTGGCGACATATTTTTTTAAATTTTGGCGATGAAACATCACTTCTGGCTACCACGATAGTTTTAACTTTGTTTTAGCTTCCCGATTTTATTTAAATGAAAATAGATTGATGTGTACATGGACATACTTAAAGCAGTGCGCAATGCCTGGGTTGTGCAATTCTAGCTTGTTTTTTTAAGTAAAAACAGATCGATGTGTACATGGACACAGATCTTGTGCAATTCTTTTGACTTCTTATTTTAATTTTGTGTAGCGGCCATCTTGAAATTGGGCCTTCCTGGCGCCGATCTTGGCGTCAAAAAAGAATCGCCAATAAACAAGGGGCACCGAATTGTAAACTTTTACATATTGCTGTTATTGATTATTTGGTGGTCAACAACCTTCTGAAGCTGATCTGATGACAGGATAAGCAAGAACACAAGGTAACAGTAAGCAATGTAAAGGCTTTCATTCAGTTATCACTGGAATTTAAAGAATTTTTATTTTTATAATTATATAGATTTCACAAGCATAATACTGTAAGTTGAATAAAAGGATTTAAATTTTAAACTTCTTTATGCTTCAGACGTAGGGATTTCCTAGGATGCATGTGGTCTAACAGACTGTTGAATGAAAAATATGGTACTTCTGTATGTACTGAAAACTGTCACCAAGCAGTGTGACTTAGTGCCAGTTATGCGTAAGCATGATTAACAACACATCTGCACTTTTGTTTGATGTATTCTTGATAACCCGCATTTTGTGTTTATTGACAACGATATAAATCAGCATAAAAAAATGGAACTGCCTTTTTCAGAATAGCAAGCAATGGTTTATTTTCAAAGTTGTAGGCTTTTACCATCAAAAACGTGTATATTAATGAAGATAATATAGTCAGTTAAATATGGCCAACAGAACAGTTAAAAGATAAGGCCTTTTAAAATAATAGAAACCAATGAAAGGCATTATGAAAGTAAAAAAAAAAAAAAGTCTTAAATACTGATTCTTTGATTAATAAAGAGGTTTCAGTTCCTTCAGAATTCCACAGCAGTGATTGACGTAACTGGCAGGAACTCTGCCAACTTTCATGGTTTGATGGTAGTCAACTTCCACAGTTGACAGGGTAATATTTAAGTACTGAAATTACTTTCCTTTTGCTTTTACATAGCTTACTCATGGCATTTGTTGGTATGGTCAAAAGTTTATCAATTTTTAAACTATTCCTTCACAAGCTATCTAGCTAAAATATTGTATGCTCCCATTTTGTGGATCACAGTGTGAGGTGGTGAAGCAGTGATTCCAAAATTCTGTTTAATATTTTTTAATTTAATTTTGCGAAGATTTTTCATACATATATTCCTTTAACAAACGTTTCTGGTTGAGGGTTAAATGAATGTAAAGACCAAAATAAAAAAACTGTTTAAAAGTGTGTAGTAAAGAATATAATTTTCATTCATATAATAAAATAAATGTGCATAATTAGGGACCAACGCCAGCCAAATGGAAAGTTCAGTGGCACTAGCCAAAAGCATTGTTAGTCATTTTTACGGTTGAATTACAGCTTAAATTCTTATGTAAAATGATAAAACCAGATGATTACTGTATTCTTTCTAATGTGATTTTTAAAAATGCAGTGTCAGTAAACATTGGGGGGGGGAGAACTATTGCTAATTCAGCTTTAGTTTTGTGGTTACCTGGCTATAGGTAGCACTTCTGAATCCATGAAATGATTAGTACATTTGTGAAGTTTCATAATACATATTGCATTTTGAACTCAAAAACATAAATATTACAATTACGAGAAGCTCTTACAAATATATATAATTCATGGATAGCATAGAACAGTTATTGAAGTGAAGTATAGTCCTTGCAACGTGAGAATTCTCTAGTCGAGAGTTCAAGAGCATTCTGACGTGTTCGTTTCAACGTGGAAAAAATCTGCAGACAGAATTAGCCATGCCTCCTTAATTTTTCAGTAGTATTTTACATTGTCTGATTCGTTATATCTGGTGTATTGGTGTATTTAATTACGGCAAAGCACACTAGGGCTATCTGCCTAAGGGGAGGGATGCCTTCGTGGAGGACTTTCTAAGGGAAACTGGCTCGTATACACGTTACACATGGGGAAAACCACGAAAACACCCATGCAGCCAGCCCGTTCGCGGGGGAATGATATCGGAGGAAAAACAAGATCACTGGTTCGTCAGCTCCCCTGAAATCGAGAGGCTTTGATGACAGACACAGTGCAGAATGCTAAAATCTCTTGACGCTGGCCGTAAAGTTGTGTCTCTTGTGTTGTCAACTGGAACAGATTATTGCGTCTGCAGTGTCAAAACATGTTGTGACACACCGTAAAACCTTGAAAACAGTGACTTGTGGGGACCGTACACAAGATTTTCCCATCTCTATCTATTATTCTATATTGAGTCTTCAGATTTTTATCCACGGGAAGGTCTGAAATAGTTTGCTCACCATTCTGTAGTTTCACATCATGTGTACAGTCACCTATATATTTTTAGCAATTGGCATATGCTTATCTTCCTCTATTTACTGGGAACCAGTTTTAAATTTTGCATTAGAGTAATGAATAGAATCCAATTCTTTACAAATAGAAGGATCCTGGTTTAAAATGAAGTTTGTATCTGTACAACTTTTATTAGGAGACGCATATTTAGTTTGAGAAGTGGTTGTATTTTCTTACAGTACTGGAACATTCTGCTTAAGCTTCTCCCATCTCTGCATCACATGAATTTTCGGATGGTTTAATACTTGCTAACTGCTACTTCGTAGCTTCACTATCAGTTTCTACAAACTTAACAATCACATTTTCACGTTCTTCCATCTACTTTAAGCACTTGAAAGTCAGGAACTTTATTTCCATGAATTATTTCTATACATTTTTCAGATGCTTTACTAGCCACTTCTTTCATTTCGTCTTTATAAACAGTATTATCACTTTCTTCTATTACAACTTCAGGCACTTGAGAATCAAAAGCTTTTTTCCCATCTTTGATTTTCTCCACTTTTTCGTTCTCTTTCTTTAATCTCGTTAGATGTTTTATCCTTCATTTCTTGTTCTTTCTCAGACAGTTCATTGGCTACTTTTTTCATTCTTTGATTCTTCAGATGCCACTACTGTCATTTTAACGTCTATTTTGCTCCACGTCTTTTGTCGGAGTTGCTCTTGCCGCCTTTCTTGTCTGGCTTCACCTCAGCCTTCCTCTCCTCCTGTCCAGCTCTCATCTATTCCAGTCTGGCTTTTACAGCTGCTACTAAGTTTATCAAGGCCTTCATTTCTGCCATGGCTTTATCCTGTGAGCGGGTCAAAGGCAGCATTCACTTCTAAAACCCCACTCCTGAGACCAGTTGTTGCATTCTACAAGTTCGTGGATTTGGAGCGATTGACGACAACACTTAATGAAGAATCAAAACACAGTTTATTCTGCAGTGTTAGAGAGGAGAGTTCCAAAGACGTGTTTACAATTGTTATAAAAAAAAAAAAACTGCGATAAACACACCGAAATTATCTGTAACACAGCTTTCAGGCTACAATGGTGAAGACAGCTTCACGGCAAAGCACTGAAGTACAGCTTCCGACTTTGTTTGGTCGCTCTCGAGCTAACCTCTGAACTCAAGATCATCTCGTACTCCACATACAGGCAAGATGTATCTAGCTTTTGCCCTGCCTTCGAGAACATTCTCGGAAAAACCAGTAAGAATTCGTTCTAGAATGTTCTCGCTCCGTCTATGGCATATTGTCAATTTTGTCAGCAAATGGGTAATGTTGTGCCGAATCTGGCAACCGTGCGTTTCCTTGCCACTTTTTTGCCTGGGCGTTTCCTAACAGTATTTATCACTAGTGTGAATTTTCCTTAAAAATTCTTTATTTTTAGTGGCATAGAAAATTTCACTTTAATTTAATTTACTGTTAACTTTGCAGCTTTGTAAAGCACTTAGAATTTTATTCAGCTGTTCTGTCTCTTTCTTCAGACCATTTTATAGTTATTATTGAGAATATTCTTTTGATTGGGCTGGTGCTTCTGGCATGTTGAAAATGTATTCTATTATCTCATAAAATTGTGCAGAGGAATTTTTTTCTTTTACTAAATGACTGTATCCATTTTTTCACAAGTTATATTCTTTCAAATTTTGTAATTAGTTGGCCAATACTTTTGCAGTCACTTCATCAAAAAGTTGAGCCATGTTTATCATATTATTAACAGCAGTTGCATTAATTTTTTCACTTGAAGATTCAATTTCAGATCATGTTAATTCACAATTGTTTATCCAAAATAAAAGATACTACTCTGCCACAACATGTTTTCCTATAGTTCAATGTTGGAAAGACGTGTGTCATCATTTTGGAAGAAAACATGTGGACAGAATTAAAAGTACTTAGGTCTAGATACAATATATTTAGATTTGCAACAGTGAGTGTAACAAAGGTGAAATTTTAATTTCCAAATTACTGTTTTATTCAAGGCTTCACTGATTTTATTTTTTGCATATTTAGCATTTACCTAATAATGAGAAAATGGCAAACTGGCTGGTATGCAAGGATTGCATCATCAAACTGTTCAAAGCAAGATGTCTTTCTATGAATATCATCAACTTTTCTGTGTGTTTATCTTTCATATTTTGCTTGCCATATTTTGAAATTACAGAAATTATAATTAACTGAATGTTCAGTAAATATTAACTTTTTTCATTTAGTCAAATCATTTGGAACTGAAGATAGACCAACAGAGAGACCAGTTGCTCCAAGAGATGAAGTTTATGAATATATCATATTTCGTGCCAGTGACATAAAAGATCTTCATGTTTGTGAACCGCCCAAACCGCAGCAAACTCTTAATAGTGGTCTTCCTAATGATCCAGCAATTGTACAAGTATGTCTTACTTTACTTACATTTTTATGCAATATGGCATGTGTTTTTTGCAATGGATGTTTTCTGTTTTTCAATTAAAGGAACCCTAGAATTATATATAAATAATGTTCATGCTGTTATTTATATATATAGGAATGACAACCCTAACATGCAGCTTCACGAGAAAGAATGGCAAATTTAATAAATTAAAGAAGGAAGACAAAAATTATGCATTTCTAGATAAAATGCATGTAAAAATTCTGCTTGACAGCTGTGCAGTGATTCATTCTTGGTTACATTTGATGGAATTTTCCAGTGTGAGCTCTTTTTACTGGTATAAATAAACTGAATAACTATAAGAAAAGGAATGCATGAGCCTTCAAATTAACATTAAAAAAGAAATTCTTTTGGGGAAATTTTATTTTTTTAAACTCCATTCAAATTCTTATTATGAAAAGAAATTTCTTTTATTGCAATTTCAGGCATTATTCAATTGTTTTGCCTAGTGATTACTTTCATTTATATTGCACTAATATTCAGAAAGCATAAAAAGACTTTCTTCTAAGAATCAAAAGTTGTATCTAGATAATGTTTTACTAAAATTTCACGATCTGGTAGAGGAATCATATCCTTATTCAAAGACATCTTTCTTCAATATTTTTTATATGTGCCTTGATTATTAAAATTACTATAGATTTTTTCCAGTTTATAATTTTCTGCATTCTCCCCTTTCCTTTCCCTCACCCTTTTTATAACAATTACGGTCAGATATATTTTTAATGCTTCTGACAGCGTATTTCACTTGTTGAAAATCAGAAATACGCTTTAAAAAACTAGCCAGGTGTATTTTCACGCATTGAAATTTTAACAAAGGTTTAGCTTAAAAATGCATAGCACCCCACCGAAATCAACAAATAATATTTTTTTTCCTACTCAAAATACCACTGATACATTTTTGGTCGACTTCTCCTCAACAAAGAATATAGGCATAGAACTGCGTAGTGCCATGCTGATTCAGTGACCACGGCCAGAGGGTAGAAGAAAGAAGCTGGCTAATGAAATTGAAGTTTCATTGTATATTTACGAGCACTAATTTCGTTGCGCATTCCATGTTACTGAATGGTCATTCGAATAGTAAAATTGGTTATCGACACACGTGGCTTGGGAGTTGGTAAAATTTTCATGTGAGCTGAAAAAATCTTTTGCACTATTTTCTGTAAATTGAAGGCGAAGTAAAAGCATATATAAAGGTAATTAAGTTTTTTTACATTTTTCTAGCATAATTTCTAATATGCCTTTAAATTGTTTTTATGCTTATAATGTTTGTATTTTTAATTCTTTCATTATTCTGCGCTAGTCGGGAAAAAAGTTGAAATTTTACCAAGAACTACCAGTACAAAATAAAATTTTAATTTCAATCTTCTTTTTAAAAAATCATGATCTTTACTAGTCTTACAGCCCAAATCTGGGTGCTTTATTGGTATCTTTTCATTAAAAAAATAGCAATTTTATCATGTTTTTCAGTACAAAAATTGGAATCGCTTCGATAATTGTTGTCTGTGATAAATAGACATCTCCTTGCGATATTTAGTGGGCAAATCGGGACTTAACGTTCTGGTTATTTGAAATTAATTCGTGTAAGAGTCCCCCAATGCGGAAATTGATATTTAGCTGACATCTCTCTATTCAAAGATCAGTATTTTGCGTAAATTTTGAGATTTTTACCAATTTTTGGGCAAAAATATGTACTTTTTCGGATTTTACAAACCCTGCTGTAAATACTCTTGTTTTCTTGAAATATTCCCTAGGAGAAAAGTATAATTTTTATTATTTTTTTAATTTGATGGCACGAAATCGCCAAACTCATTGCGGATTTTAACTGTCGCTTTTAAAACAATTGCAATTTGTATTCGCGCTTATAAGATAAATTCCTTTCATATGAAAATGAATATTTTAAGCGAAATTAAGATCGCATATGAAAAAAATTTTTAATTTAAAAAATTCCATGCAGTCTGCAAAACGAAAGTTTCTACAACTGATCAGCTTCTAGGAGAAGCACATAAAAAATATTTTTTAGTTTCTAATTTTTTAAAACTTTAATTCAATAATGTAGTACCTTTGCGACTGAAGCAATTATTCCAGGAGAAAATTTAATTTAAATATGAATTCTAAATTCATAAAGGAGTTTTTATAATAAAGCCATCAAGCCAATTGTCAACCAGCTCAGAACCGTCAGCTAAGAAACCAAAGATTGATGAACATTCAGAAGAAACTACTTCTAAACATGATAAGTTTTTTAAAGAATTTCCTTGGGTCCATTTCAGTAAAGAGGAAAATACAATGTTTTGTAAAACATGTCAATCTGCCAATATGAAGAATAGCGTGGGTGTGATGGGTTCATCATGTTTCCAAAGAAGTACTCTGTCTCGCCATGAAAAAACTACTACTACTTAAACAATGCTCACAATTTTCATTTGTAGCCACCTTGTCATTTTTGAGATTTTTGAGAAATGTGTTACTGATTATGAACAAAGTCAGTAGAATTTTTTAGAGCAATGATGTGGACTTCTCAGTGTTGGTCAATAGTCTAGAATTAACTATTAATCGCATACAGGTAATGAAAAAGGAGGAAGGCCATGCCTCTCATCTAAAGGAATTTTTAAGAGTCTGCTTTTAATAATGGGTATTAGAGTTCAAGATATTAAATTATCTGTTTCTACTAAATCTTTAAATGATTTCATGAGTGCTAAAAATGTTTTTTGAGTGCACTGAATCTGCAAAAAAGATTTAATTTGCAACAGATGCATCTTTTGCAGAATTTTGATGTTTTATTGAATCCCTCTTGTGTTACAACAACAGAACCATCAATATTGGAGTCCTTAGATAATGTTATTAAATATTTGTAGGACAGATTCTACTTTGGTTTTGGGTGTTTCAGCAGAAGAGTTAAAGCAATAGCACCTTGAAGTAGAGTGTTTATATGCACGCTACAGAGAATTCAAATTTAAACAGTTTGCCAATTTGTTGTTCTCATCAAGTTTAGATGGTGAACTCTTATATCCAGGATTTACAGCCCTGGCACAAATAGCTATGACTATACCTTTGTCAACAGCTGTTTGTGAAAGAGAATTTTGTACTCAAAATAGGATCAAATCAAATAGGAGAAATAGATTGGGGAGAAAACAACTGGAAATTCTAACGAGTATGTGTAGCTAATATGTGCAACGTTATAGCTAATTGCACATATTTTGCAGAAATTTAACTTTCGGGTTGTTTATTCTCCCATCAATAAAATTCCGAGTTCCATACTCAAGGACCCCGTTCCGGATATGAATTCCTGGTGTATTTATAGGATTCCTTGCCAGTGTGGTTTAATTTACATTGGCCAAATTAAGAGAGCCTTAAAATTCCGTGTCAAGGAGCATGAGGCATATGTTAGAAAAAAGGAAACACAGAAGTCTTCTGTTGCTCAACATTGTTGGTCCGAAAATCACACTTTAAATTTTTCTGCTGCCAAAGTTATTCAAAAAACATCTTCCAGTGGAGAACTGGATTTTCTAGAGGCATTTCACATTCAAAAAAATCTTTCTGTTCTAGTTAACGATCCTAATTCCAATCCATCTTTGCCTTCGGCCTTTAAAGAAATTATGTTTTAGTTATGGTTTCATCAACAGATAGCGCCACTTGCTTATTCTTGTCCAGCCTTTCTTATCTAATCATTATTTCCTATCTTGTTCATTTCCGTTTTTGCAGCTGAGGATGGTGGTTCAGTAAAACCATCGAAACTAGTCCTGTGAAAATTTTGAAAATATACTGCTGATTTTTGTTGTTTGACTTCTGAATTAGTATGATATTATTTACTTATGAACAGGGACATAGCTAGAGGGGACATCTATCCATGGGCCAGCATCCAAGGGGGAGCCAAACTGATATGAAATTTTAGAATTAAATATTTTATATTCTTAGGAACCAGGAGAGGTCATAAAATCTTTAGTTGTTCCCCAATTTCTAAAAACCCTAGCTATGACTCTGCTATCAATGTGACTTTGCTAGGCATATAAAGTTTTTATGTGGGGTATGGATACTTTAAAACATTATTCTTGCTGCGTACTGTTATTTGAAGTACAAAATATTTTCAAGACAAGGCATTAAGCAAGGAGTACAAGTAAAAGAAAGTAAATCGGTAATTTTGTATTTTATTGTTTGCGAGATCGAGGATCACCAAATTCATGTCCCATGCATTCCTTTGCTTTAAAGGGAAGGGCTGTAGAAAATCTGGCTGTTTGGGACCAAAATATATTCACATACTCTCTATATTTGGTATTCATACTCTGTATTTTGGAATTTAAATTTAAAAAAAAAAAATTTTATCACTAAATTTGAAATTTAAATTTGTATCATTTTAGCATTCAGCTCCTGTGCCATCTGCATCAAATTCTTCATTCGGTCAATCGGGTAGTTCCTTTGGTCCAATCGGTGCTTTGCCTTCTTACCAAAGCTATTCATCACAGTCCAATCTCCAACACATTCCACAGCCTTTTGCAACTCCTAACTCCCAGCAATCTGGTAAATATGTTTATTAATAAAATAAAAAATGCAGGTGGTTTAATCCTTTGTTTATTAATTAATATTTTTAAGAAAGTTGTTAATTCTGAGCAGCTATTCTGTTTTTAGAGTGCTTAATACACAAAAATATATCACTTAATATGCACATGCATTCTTAATTTGAATGATATTACAAATTAGTTTGCAGCAGTAATTGATCTTTTATTTATATACAATTGAATTTTCATAATATAAAATTTAAATTAGCTTTATATGAATGAGAGAATATTTGTTAAATTCAAATTTACTGTTAAAATATGTATATATATATGTCTTTAAAAATTTCTGTAGATTATTCCTTCAATCAATTTTAGATTTCATGTAATCTATTCGTAATTTTTTTAAGTTACTGCTTTTTCTAATCATTATAATGTGCTCCTTGTACTTTGGATCTTTGAATGATGTCATTAGTATAAAATGCACCTGAGAGAAATTCTGTAAAATTTGAGAAGTAAAAATTAGATCTATCATTTGCAAGTCTGAGTAAAATCACATAAGCCCATTTTCTTCTGTGACTTTTTGCCACCTTTCTGGCAGCTGGGAAATTCCTTTTTATTTAGAAGAGTATTAAAGAGTTATTAGGTTTGTTCATAGAAAAGTTATCAAAGTGCTGTTGAACAAGTTCCAAAGAAGAACTCTAGGGCAGTCGGAGAATTTTGAAGTGATTTGTACAGATCAGAAACAGTTAAAATATGCTTTTAAGCAGAACGCCCAAAAATGTTTACCTCGGCAACTTCGCCATTTAGATTTCGTTTCTCGGTATTCTACTTATATGAGGCATGTTCAAGGTTCTAAAAATGTCATTGCTGATGCTCTTTCAAGAGTCAAATTTGATTCTATTACAAAATCTCCATTTGTTTATATTAAAAGATTTTCCAAAGCTTAACAGCATGATGGTACAAACACCTTCTCAAAAACAATACGTCATCTATACACTGAAATAATACACTATTAAAGCTTGAATTCAAGCTGTGCCAGTGCTCTGATGATAATATCCTTTGTGACATTTCTATTGACATTCCTTGTCCATTTGTTCTGAATTTCTTTCCCAGATTCATCTTTAATCATCTGCATAATCTATCATATCTAGGAATTGCAGCTGTTATGAAACTCATTTTTAATAGGTCCTTGTTTACATAGTTCCTGAACTGTACAATATGGATTTTTAGCTGTAGCTTCTTTTAATAGGTCCTTATTTACAGAGAATGTCTGTCCAAAGCAGGCATCATCTTTGAAGTTGAAATTTCCACCTTTAAACTTATCAAAATATCTTAGAAACTGTGTCACCAGAAGGAGCACTTTGTCCATATATAACAAAAAATTTATAAGCAATTTAGCATTATTCTTTTGAAAAGTTTTAAAAAAGAATAAATAAAAATGATGAAAATGAAACTTTTGGATTTCTCTATTTTTAGCACTGCATTGACTCAAAAAATATGCTGTAACATCTACTAGAATTATGCAGCAGGGAGCAGGAAAGATCATATTTATATACATGCTTCAGTCAGTGTCACTTCTTATCAGCAGTTCCAAAATAATTAGAAAATGTGCTTTGATTTCAAAGACTGCAGCACTTATGAAATTTAAAAACTGAATAGCAACTTACCAAACAACTCTTAAAGTTTAGTGTAATATTAAAAAGGAATATCATAAATATGTTGTCATTTATTAATGCAAACAATAGTATTTTTCTGTTAACAGGGCACCAGTCACCAAACTGTATTTATATTGCATTATGAACATCTCTGCAGTGATAATATATATAATGTGCACAATACTGAATTTGTTATATTCTCTTTCTTTTTTTTTTTTTTTTCTGTAAGCAAAAACAAATATCTGTATACATGAGAAGAGCAGCAGTTTCATAGATCCCATGAACACAAGAATGTTGTCACTTAAATTTAAAAAAAAAAAAAAAATGCGCACAGCCCTAGTACTGCACGCTCTAAACATTATGTATACAAAAGTTATTCGATTTAGAAATTATCTTTGCCTTCTTATATTATTGCTATCTGTATATTGTCAGCTCATTAAATATATAGTGAATTTGTCTGCTTGCCTGACATAAGTATTAAAAGTTGAGGTCTCATGTACTTTGGCTAATGAGAAAAATTGGAAATAATTTCTTAGATACTTTAACATTCCTGGCCAACAGCTGTTCCAAAATTATATGCTATTTCAGAGTTGAAGGTATATTTTTTGCAGTCATTGCAGTTTAAAATAAGAAAGGTTAAAAAAAGACACAGAAAATTATATTTTTGTTTCTACAACTTTTATAAAAGTGAAATTTAAAGTAGGAGACTCTCATATTTACATCTGCTCAGTTTATCAAGGCCCAGAATGCCAAAGTGAAAATGCTTTTTAATATGTTGCATTGGCACTGATCAAATATTATATGTTCTAATTAATGTTGAAAAAGATGGAGCTTTTATAATTCTAAATTTTTGCTGTGTCAGAGTTAGTGTTTCATAAAAACAGAATTTATTGCAAGTTTAGCTTTTCCCAGTTAATTGAATTTCATTTGACTCAGAAGATTTAATAAGCTTTATTCGATGATATTGAAATTGAGGACTTGCATACAAAATGATACCTTATCCAAATTTAGAAATTGCTCACCATTATTGATAATCCATTAATAAATAATGCACCTTTATTTTTCTAGCAATTTTTGTAACAAACTACTGTGAACTGGTTGTATTTAGCTTTGTTACGCGTTTTCATGATAACTAATATATGCATGTTTCAATATTCCAGCTTATATATAATTTCCTGGACATTGCAGTATATTAATTGCAAGTAATTAATTTTTGCCTTTAATTTGTATATTGTTTTGTAGAATTATGGATCTCTGAACATTTGTAAATGCTTTAATTCTTATCAAATGGAAGTGTGACATCATGTATAAATATAAGCAGACTATGAGAATGCAAATTATTGGACATGCTAAAGATAGCAAGAATTGGTGGCACTTTTCATGTATTTGCCTGACTAGTTTCAAAGATTTAATGTAGAACCTTCTTCCGCTGCAGGAATAAAGCTGTTAAAGGAGAAGCTTGTGCTTATATGATATTAATAGATCAGAAAGTTCGAGAAAAAAAAAAAGAGCATTAAGAATTTTTTTATCAAAAAATGATGCCAGTAGCTTTTGTTTTTTGGGAGGGGGTATAACTTGTATTTTCATAGTTTGCCTGTCTCTGCCTTTATAAAATTCTTATGGGTGTACTGTTTCATTTGGTAAGAATGAGAGCATTTGTAAAGCTATTGGCACCATCTATTAATATAAAAAAAAGTATAAAAAGAATAGTGCTGGTGTTCCCTTTTTGGGGGGAAGGATAAAATTTTCTCATCTTGAGCATAGGCTTCTCTTTCATCATTTTCATTCCTGTAGCTGAAGAAGGTTCAAAATTAGTCCTGCAAATTTATGAAAAATTACATTCACAGTGAAGTTCAACAAAGGTGGAATTATGGACTGGGTCCCCTGTTCCATATTCTCAGTGTCAATGCCTTCTGCACTGTTTTGGATGACGACATGCTTTCTATGTTGTGACAGTTTTAGGTCTTGATCCTATGTTACTTTCAGAATGACAATGCCAACTGTTGTGTGTCAAGGTCACCCTGGATTAGTGTTGTAACAATGTGGTTAACCAAATGAACTGGCATGCCCAGAGCTCACACCTATCAAGAACCTCTGGGACAAGTTGGATCGTTAAATTAAGGGGTGCAGCAACCATCCAGCATTAATGAAGGGACTTGTATGTCTTCTGCAAGTCGAATGGAAGGAAATGCCAATAGCTGTCATACAAGGGCATGTTGAAAACAAGCCCTGTAGGTTTGAGGCTGTACCAACCATTTAATAAAAATAAATTTCTTTTTCTTTTCTATGAACATGTGTTCAAATACTCATTGATGGAGAGTGTATATGTAATTAAAATGAGCATGCATAAAAGGGAGTCAGCATGCACTGTTAAGATCAGCAACCAAAAAAATAATAATGTTTCCAAGAAAGTGAAGTAGCCTTTTTTGCTAATGGAAGCTAGATGGTTTATACCATGATTTCTTTTACTATTAGTTTGTGGATAAATTGATGCTGATCATATACTTTTCCCAAACCTTTGTACAGAGTGATCCAAAAGTCACATACATCAGATTTTTCAAAAACTAGAAATTTCAGAATGGGCATTAATGCCAAATAATATTAATGGATGGTGACTCCATGCTACTAAATTATTTATCACGTGACATTTCAGTCGCAATTTATGCTGTTAACTTAAAAACTTGTTTGATCTGTGATTGATATGAGCAGAGCAAATTTTTATGATTGAGCATCACTTTGCAACACATTCTTTATGTAAAAGTTGCTGAAGTTGCTTGGTTTACCAACAAAAAGTGCCAGAAGTATGGTATTGCAGTTGAATTTATGCATTATGTAATAATGCTCAATCATAAAAAACTTCTGCTTGGAAATATTCATCTCCATCTTGTGCTAATTAAACAGTTTTACAGCATAAACTGCAACTAAAATTTTGAGTTCAGTGTTTAAATGTAATGAGAAATATAAAAATATGTAGATATAACAAATTCTGTTGAAAATATGTGAAAAAAATTTCATATGAAAAAAAAATTAAACTGAATTCACAGAGTTCATAGTGAAAACTTATCTTGAGAAATATGATTTTATCAAAATTTTTTATTATAGCTTTTAAATATTTTATGTTATTTAAGACTCCCAAGTTTAGCTTGAAGTAACTCTTTTGCTTTCATTGTTATATGGTATCTGAAATATTTTACTACTTCATTATGGATTAACTTCTATACATTCATATTTCAGATTCTAGGTCAGAAACTCCCACTCTTACACCACAGCAGAGGAAGAGCCCATCCTTAGATGCCAGCATTCAAGTTTCAAATGCAGCAAATCATCTTCGAAGTGATGTTTCTGATCGCTCTGTAGTACAACGACAGCAAGGCAAAGGGCCGTCTCAGCAGCAGGCTCCCGGGTCATCTAATCAAACAAGACGGTCCCTGCCTCAGAGCCATAGGCAACAGCGCTCACCTCAACGTGGAAGTATGGTCTTACATATAAACTTTTTTTCAGAAATATTAAGTTTGATTTTTTAACTGTTAAAACTGCTGTTTATAAGCAGTATGTAAATTATCAAAATGAACTGAAAAGTAATCATATCCATTTTCCAAATGATCAACTTTTTGCACGCATTTGTAATTATATTATTTTTCATCTAGAAATTATCAAAATTTTGTGTGTTTCAGAATTGAAATAACCTATTAGTTATTGTTACTTTGGTGAGATAATCATGACCATATAAATATCGAAAACACAAAAAAAAAAGCTTTTTTAATAAATATATTAAATTTATGCCAACAACTGTAGAGAAACCTGTGTAATTTTTTGATACTTTATATGTAGTATATTACTTTGAATTAAATTCACAGTGGGATTTTAAAATTTGAAAAAAAAAATAAATGCTTAATTGCAGTTTTTGAAAAGGGGTATGAAATTTTTAGGGCATTTAATATAAGTTATTATGCTTTGTTGCATATTTTTTCATTAAAGTTAGTTCTGATTTATGGGTATAGTAATATTTTGTTTGTCAGCATTTTCTGTAATGCTGATAATAAGACACACAAATCTGATGAAGATGATAGAAAATAAAAGTTGTACTGCACTAGAAATGAATTAAAAATTTTTTTTTATTGTGAAAATCTGGATTTTTAAGATGGCTATTTAGGGTTAAATTCTACAAATATTATAACAAATGAGAATATAAGGTTTGGGTCTTTCTCTTCTTTATTTAATCCTTGTCAAGATTTTCCTGGATCTCATCTGCTTTGAATTATTTCAACTTGCTATTAGTACAGGTACAATTAAGCGGGATGCCAAAATTTCACTATTGATTGTGTAGGTTTAGTCCTACTTCTCTAATTGTGCAGGTCTATCCCAGAGGAGGGATCTGAGGGTCTCCCATCAGTTTTTACCTACCATTAAACCACTCAAGAAGACTTCCAGCATGTACAAACATTCACGCCGTCTCTGGTATGCAAACCTGGGCCCAACGAACAGCTAATCACGATACTAATCAGAGTTGCAGTTGCTTATAGTGGAGTGTTTGGCAAATCATTTGGTCAGAATCCAAATAAATACTCAGAGTTTTGTGTGAAAATATATCATTGGCATCCTACCAGAAGAAAAAAGATTCAGCGAGCAATTTTTTTTTTTTTTTTTTTTTTTTTTTTTTTTTAAACTTTCCATATCAAGAGTAGAATTTTTATGAATTAATGTAAAATGTCAAGTATTAAAAAATACCTTGACTTGCTGTTTCCTTAACACTGGTTACATTTAATAAAAGTAGAGTTGTGGAACTATTCTTATCAAGAATAAATTATTATTTATTTCAATCCTGTATTTAACTAGGAATATGAACAGAAATTCATAGGTAGAGATCAAATTTGAAAATTAAGTATTCTTTTCATAGTTTTGATAGTAAGTCCACCAGCAGCCGAGCGCGGAAGTCGCTGAACACTGTTAGTTCGGTTCAAGGTTGGATCCGCAAACAGCATATTCTTGGTTTTCTTTCTTGGCATTACATGTATATGAGCCAGTTTCCCTCAAAGTTCTCCATGAAGGTATCCCTCGCCTTAGGCAGATAGCCCTAGTGTGCTTTGCCATAATCAACTAAACCAAACCATACTTCTGACAGCAATAAAAAAAAAAAAAAAGTTGTGATGTATAAAAGTTTAGTGTTATATAAAAATTTTAGCCTTTTATGTGTTGTGTAGAAGCTGCAGATTACGAAATCAGTAACAATCTCTTTTCCTCCAAGTAACAAATAATAATAAAGAGTTAAAATTGGCTATCTCAGCAAGTATGTTGCAGGAATTTCTTGACTGGCCAATTTCAGGCTGTCGTGGAATAAGGAAAACTGTTCTGAGGGTAAGGGAAGTTATTTTTCATAGGTACAATATATAACAGAATATTTTAAGTCCTGCAACTTTTTCTGCTAAAAGATATTAATTACAATTCAAACAGGTACCTTAATACCATAAAAGCTACTTTCTCTAATGAATTAATAGAAGTTGACCAATTAGGTTCCTACTCACATAGTGAGATATTTACTCATAACTGCTGGTCATTTTTCAAAGTGGTTGGAAATAATTTCCTTCAGAAAGCTTGTACTAAAATTGTTGCAGATTCATTTGTAAATAAATTTATATTTAAAATATGGAGATCCACTTAAAATAATGTCAGATAGTGGAAAGCAGTTTGTTAGGCTGATATTTGACGATATACGTTCAGGACTCGGTATACAGCATTTTAATGTTCCCTTATTAGCCACAGTCAAATATTGCAGAGTAGGTGAATAGAAATATAAATAGTTAAAATTATCCCAGCTATCTAAAATGTTACCAGCAACATTGGGATAACTGTGTCAATGAACTCTAATTTGCCATGGGAATTTCTAAAAACAATGCGGAAAAATTTCCAAGTACATTATTTATTGGCAGAAAATTAGTTACATCCCTAGATAAACTTTTCTATGTTCAAAAGAGGTATGTGGAATTAAAAATGGCAGACATCCAAAAATTAGAGGATGAGTCGATTAGAAATTTGGATATAGCCAGGGTGAAACTTTTTTTTTTTTTTTTTTTTTTTTTTTTTTTTTTTGGGAGGTGAGACAATGAAAAGTGGGGAGTTTATTTTAAGGTAGAAGTCTTGGCAAATACATATTGTCTTTCATGTATAGCAGAAGGAAAGAGAGAAGTTTTTAATAAATTCAAAGGCCCATTTCTGTTTTAGCGAGGAAATGAAAAAGTTCAAATGGTGAAAGTTCTAAAGCAAATATGGACCAGATCAACTGCTGTTAGCACATTGATGTTATGAAAGGTTTCAGGGGAAGAACAAAGAATTGTTTAGAAAAGCGATGGATACGCTGTCAGTGCCCAAGGTACAAATAAAGAGACAGAAGGCTGGTGAAAAAGATAAGAGAAAATCCAAGTTCAAGGAGTCTGAAAAAAGTAAAGCCAGAATTTATATGGCAAGCAACTGGTAAATGACAAACCAGGGCAGCCAGTGAAAATCCCTGAGAACCAGAGGAGGTTTCCGACAGCACACCAAATAGCAATAAAGCTACTTGGCGTGCTGTCGGCTGGCTGCATCAGAATTTCCACAGCCCTAGAAGGAAATCCAGACAAATAAGAAATAGGGCCAAAGCATTAGTTACCAGTTAATGAACCAAGAAATCTATATCCCAGAAAGGAACTACAGATTCATCACACAAGTAGTTCCCCTGGAACAGGAATTTGTGAGAAAAAGGAATGTGTGAGTATTGCTGAAGCAAAAAATAAATGTAATTTTTTTTCCCCCTTCTTTTTTTTCTTTTTTTACGTACTCAGTTTTAGTGTGTGTTGAGTAGCTCAGCTGTTGTTTACAGTGAGCTTTTTAATTTAGTTATGCCTTTATCTTGAAGGATTTAGCAAGTGATAATGATTTCAAGTAAAGTAAATGCTAGAGTTAAGGCTCTCCAGTCAACATGAAGATTTAATAAAAATTAAGCTTGGAGCTTTGGGAAAAAAGTCATTGATTAGTCAGAATTTAAACTGAAGTTTCTGGTTTTTAAGACAGCTTGCTTCGGGCTTGTACACACTATGTGGTAGTTTCCTGTTCTGATAGTTGTAATTATTCGGCTTTGCATTCTATCATTGTCAAACATTTTGGTTTTGACGCTGCAGTAGAACTGAGCCAGCTTATAGTAATACTTAATTGTGTGGTCTTTGACTTCTGTTTCTATTTAGTTCCATCACCATGAGCTGTGGCTGATATTGTTGCACATTTAAGTTCTAAATTTCTTGTGTGTGTGGTTGTTTTTGTTATTTGTTATTTAAACCTTCTCATGACTTTGTAGTTTCTTTAGGGAGGATTTGCTTTATGTCTGTTAGTGGTTTGGGATTAATTAAGTGAAACCCTATAGATTCTTAGAAAATTTAGCATGGCAGCCAGTTCATAGGCCTTTTTTTTTTTTATGTTTGAAGTGAGTAGTAAAGTTATTTAGCCTTCTGGGTATACGTGGTACTACTTTTTATTATTAGTGGTAGTATTATGTGTAGATTGGATCACAAATCTTTGGTCCTTCTAGATAATACTTTGGGCATATATTATCTATCTGTTGAACTTAATTTTGAATTTATGTGATAAATATGTATAAAGTATTTGTTCTCTTCCACCCCCACCCCCATGGTATAACTGAATGTCACATTACAAAATTGGCTATTCAAACATGTACGAGAAATTTAGAAAGCTGTTTATGTCAAAATTTCACAGAATTTAGAAAGGTGATAAAAGTCATTACAGACAAGTAAAGCATTTCACTAAAATAGGTTGTTCTTAACATTCTACCAGTTTACTTCTTGGGAGTGACAAGAACTTGTTTTACACAACTCATAAACACTGATATTTCTGGAGTTTGAAAGAGAATTTGGGGTACATAGAATATCTTTTCAAACAGCTCTAAAAACTAGCATTTATGGAGTTCGGAAGAAAGAAAATTTGATGTCGATTGATACAAAATGTTTCGCAGTTCTCAAATGCATGCTGGTTTTAATTTACATAACAGACATGTAACAATTTAATAATAGTTCTTCCTTTCTAAATCTTCTGAAAAATTCTTATTCAATGACAAAATTTCTTATATTCTCTTTCGTTGTTGTGCTGTCCATCTTCTTATTTGCCATTAATCATTCTTTACCTTCTTATGGGTTTTGGAATTTCAGAGAGGTATGTTAGTGTAAAAGCTTGCTTATTATTATAATATTAATATTAAAATAGAAAATGTTTAGCAGAGAAATTTACCTGTTTCCCTTCAAAGTTAACATTTTTACCAAAATTTTAAAGCAGCCAGTGAAAAATATATAAAATCCTTTATTAATTAATTTAGGAGTGGGCTAATATCAAAACTTTGTTCAGCAGATTGAATTTTTGTAATGTAATTAGTAACCACTATTTAGTCTTATCTTTCTTTATTATCAAGCTGAACTTAATGTAAGTGAAAAAATAATCGAGTGGGGATAATATATAGCATTTCAAGTTATAGGCACATTCAAATCCACAGTGCATAAAATTCATTCACTTCTATTCAATTTGATTATTCCGTTGTTTATTACTTATTAAAATGATTTATAGATTGCAGCTGAACTGTAGGAAATTATTTTGCAGGGCATCAAAGAAGAGGTGGTCGTGGCCAAGGAAGAAATCGGCAGAACTTTTCTGGACGATCGAAAGATGTTTTAGACTTTGAAGGTGAATATGATTTTGAACAAGCAAATGCTGAATTCCAAGAATTAGAAGGGAAATTAGCAAAAGTAAAAATAAGTGATCAAGATGAAATACCAAGTAAGTACATTTCAATGTTATATATATGTTTTGTTTTCTAATACATATTTTGAATCACTTGTGAAGAAAGATTTAGTAGTCAGTTATAAGCACTCAGAAGTGTTTATGATATTTGTTAAAAAAAACTCTTTCTGTTGAATGCTTCCCATAGAATTGAAAAACTGGAAATGTAGTATTCAGTATTTCGTATAACATTGTTCGCATGTTTATCATAATATTATGCAGTATTGTAAAATTTTTAAAAAGAAAGAAAAGAAACAACTGAATCTCCTGCAGTCATGTGTTTAGTTGTGTCAAGTGGCCAAAGTTGTAAAACTCTGTTAATTTGACCTAGATTCAGTTCATGGCTGCTTGAGGTGAGACATGTGAGCCAATTTAACTTGAAATTTTTCGCAAATGTCGAAAGTAAGAGAAATGAAAAATGGTGTGAGAAAATCGGTTATATTAGTATAATGATTTTAAAAAAAAAGTTTGGGAAAATCTGCAACTTTTACCAGACGATCAGAAAAGCTTTAAAAAAAAAACCACGTCTTCTGTGTTTGGCCTATTAAATTATATACTTTTTTGTTGCACTTTATCTAACTGCATTAACTTATTTCCTCAAATTATTCTGACTTAATTAGCTAATCCCATAAGGCGAGTTGATAATGGCATAAAAAATACCAGTTAATTTTTGTTGTGTAGGAGTCCAACTTTATAATTTTATTTTTTCATAACAAGTATAAAACTTTTCCACATATGTATGTAGTAACTGGGAGATTGCATTAAAAAGTTAAGATTTTTGTTATTTAAAGTAATTTTTTTTCCCAGTTTGACAGTATCAAAATATGAATGTTTTTGTCATTTAAAACTCTTCTTTAACTGGAAGTATGTGACCACAACCAACAATTGAAAATAAAAATTAAAAAAAAAGGCTAGTTATATGTTTGGTACTGCTAGTAATGAGAAGTGCACAACTAGATGTTTTAGCAGTCCCATATACAAAATTTCAATGTTTTTTGGCTAATCATTTTTGAGTTAATGAGAGACTCATGTATCTACAGATGTCACGGAAAAATCTGTTTTGTGCGAGTCTTTTATACTGTTCATATGTATAGACGTCATGCAAAAAAAATTGTCCACATGGATTTGGAAATAGTCAAAATAGGTATTTCCATTAAAATATGATAGCCGAAATGTTTCATGATTACAGCACTTAGTACAAGAAAGTAAAAATATACACAGAAATATCCTTTCAAATAATAAAATGCTTGTTTTAAGTAGTTGTTTAAAAAAATTAGGAAAAAAATATATCATGAATTATTGTACTCTTTAATTTTAAATATTTTGTACAGGATTCAGTTCATATCTGAAACAATTTTATCTGAACAGTTCATATCTGAATCGATTTTTGTCTTGCCAATGAACCTAATGTCCTTTCTTCTCTTTAACCTTCTGGCTGGCTAAAATGTTTTTGTAACATCTTTAAATACATGTATCTCTAAATAATAAAAGCAGTATTTTAAAAGAAAAGGATGCTAGGTATAATGTACTAGGATTACTTTTAATTAAGAAAATTATACCTCATTCTCACAGCAGTTTTGGAGAATTTGAGGTTTCATATCCAGCTTGTTGAGAGTTAATAATATAGCTGTTCTGTCATTCTTTATTTTGGAAAGTATGTATATGTTTCTTTCATTTGTATCATAGTAATGAGCCAGATAAATTTTTAGTATGTTCTGGATTATTTTATTGTATTTTTAGAAAACACATAAGACTCGTGTGTAATTCGATAACTAGTTTACTATGTTTGAGCAAGGAAATCATTCCCTTCAGTTTTTAAAAATAGGAGAAATTAAAAATTGAATTAACAGAACCCTGTTAGGGAGATATTCCTTATGGACTTTATAATATATGTTAAAGTAATTGCTGTACATTCATAGACCTCTAATTACTACAAATTTTTGGGAATTCCTTGCAGAAATGTGGCATGTGCTTCTTAATAATAATATATTATTAATATGTTATTATTAGGTTGAAAGTTGTTTGTGAATCAGACAGTCTCAAAATAAGAGGCTTAAATTATCAAGTCTGTAATTTAAGATTCTTATTCTTTAGAATTTCCATACTGTAAAGCATCTAAAATTCCTGTAAATTGTGCATATTGCATACAGCAACAAATTTTCACTTGCACATGTTGAAAAAGATGATTGTAAACAATATATTTTCTTGATAAAATTAATGCAGTAAAATTGGATGAAATATCAAATTTCTTCTAAGAGAATGTAATGGATATTGTAATGCTATATCAACACAATTCTCCAATTTCTGCTTAGTGGAAAGTGTTGCAATATTTCATATGTTTAAAGTAATGATGGAAATGATGGAAAACTGCCTTTGATTGCAACATATTATAGCCCAAAAAAAGTAATAAATACTTTATTTTCTGTTTTAGAAATTGAATAATGCCATATTTTTAATTATGTAAATAAGCTTTTTGTAAGTAAAGGTTATAATCTGTTATAATGCTACGAAAATTCAGTCCAAAATGAACAGGCTCCCACACATTAACTTTGAAGCATTGGTGTGCCACATGGTGTCACACACCTTTGAGGTTTTCTTGAGCCTTTAAATACTGAGTGTGGTGATTGAATATGCCATCCCTGTAGAATATGGCCTCATCCATGAATGACACATAAGCTAGGAAGTTAACATCATAAGCACCTTCTTGCAGAAACCACTCTATGAAATGCACACATTCAAGATAGTCATGGTAACTGAACCCTTTGGAGATGAAAGGCGTGGAAGCATGCCTTCTTTCAAGGCACGCTGGACACTGGTACAAGACATTCTTAATTAAGAGGCAGTGCCACGTATGCTGGTCCTTGGATTACTCTCCACCGTATCCAACGTACTTGCTTTCCTAATGACCGAGCGAGTCATTCGTGGCCTGCCCTTACTTGCCCTGTCATTTGACCCGTAGTCGAACAAAATTTTGATGCAGACGTGTAAACAAACTGTGGTATGTTTGATGTTTGTTGAAGGAACGTTCTTGATAAAAAGCGTGCAGTGGCTCGTCCACTACCCTCAGTATTTATAAAATTAATCTGCAGTTTTATATTACTAATAATAAAAGCAAGGTGCCCTTTGATAAATTTATAACTTACACTTTTGACTGTGCAGTTTGGTAGTTCAGTTTTGTTATTTAGGCATTCACGCATTTATTAAATGTGATATAAAAGTGTGTATGAATTTCATAAATGGAATTATTAGCTAAAAGCTTATTTTACTTTCATCTTTTTTAGTCTCAACAGTGCATTGTCAAATTTTTCAGTAAATGACCAGTCTTTTACTTTCAATAATTCTGTTACATCAGATGATTGGAAAAAATCCAGCAGTTTTGAAGGGGGGAATAGAAGAGTCAGAGTTTGTCTTATAACAAATGAAAATATCAAATTTTTAAAATAGATGCATTTTTGGTTGTGAGAATTTTAAAGTTTTGTAAAAGAATATATTATATACAACAAATAAAATAAAGAAAATGAAATTCTGAGAAAGGCGTATATAAACTTACGAAATGGGAAGATTAAAAATGACACTGTTAGATTTCATTGTGAATAATTTTAAATGATTATCATTTCTAAAATTCTATTGTTTTTTTTTAGATTTATAAAATGAAATGAAAAGTAAATGCAAAATCTGCTTTAAAAAAAAAAGAGCTCTCTCTTTTTTTAGGGAAGGCATTTGAAAAATGGTAGACTTCTACAATAACTTTGGGGGAGGGGGCAAGTAATTCTTTGCAGCAAGTTGAGATAGGAAAATAAATAATATGAAAACAAGAAAAGAGTGTGATGTAATTTCATAACCTTGAAATTTTGTTTCCAGTTGATGCCCACTAAAGAAGTAATACTTCTGCTTTTTTACTGCAAATATATTTTTTAAAGATTATGAAAATCACCCAGGCAGTATCTTTCTATCATTATTTTTTTGAAGAGGGCAAAAAGTTTATGATGATTTCAAAACTTAACAATCAGCACATTTTTAGATGTGAATATTTAAAAATCATGAATGTCAAAAAAATATTTAAAAAATCAAGTGATTTTAGAATATTTGCTAAAAAATCAGTCTGTAGTACAAAGATTTTTTTTTTTTTTTTTTTTTTTTTTTCCCGGTTCAATCTGACTGTAAAAATAATAAAATTCTGAGAGTTTTAGATTGTTTATTAATGAAGATATGTACACAGAATCATTTTAACATAAAATTTTTAAAAATCAAAGACAAATTTTTAAAAAAACTGCTTCACAGTGTCATATTGTCGTCTCACAAAGAGTGTGCGTGATAGCAAGTGTTACTGGATTTAAAATTAATTTATCTCTGCCAATTGATGATAATTTTTTCCTTTACCATAAAAAGTATATTCACTAATTATTAATTATCATGAAATGATAAATGGTATCACATCATTCAGTTGCATAAAGTGTTTTTACACACACCTAACATCTGAGTAGAATTGCATATGAATACCACAGTGGCATAATTGCAATTTTATTTGTAGCTTGAATTTTGAATATTCTAACATTAGAGGTCTTAATAAATAATTAAAGCTTTGGTTATCTGTATTATAAAACCTCAAATTTGCAAAAGAAATTATTATTAAAGTAGTAGCGGTAATAGTAGTTGTAGTATTACCACCTCATTCATTATTTGTTGTATATAATATAATGTGACATGACACTTCATGTCAGATTTTATAATTGTTATATTGTGCATCTTGATTCATCTCTCTTAATTTTCCAATTTAAAAAAAAAAACTAATTATTATAGGCAGTTATATACTGATTTCAATGTGGAGTGCAGCAGTTATGTCCTTCTCTCCCCCCCTTTTTTTGTTTTGTGTGTGCCAAATTTTTGTCTATTTTCAGTAGGTCTATTTTTATAACTAATCTTTGAAAGTTTTGTGTTATCTAATGTTCCTGATTATGAAACAATTTTTCATTCCCATGTATTTCAAATAAGTGGAAGACTGCCTATTATTTTATGAGCTGTATTTTTTAAATCCACTTATCTTGTATAAGACAGTTCTTTATTTCTTAATGTGTATTTTTTAGAGTCTCCACCCCCAAATGCTCTCATTGATACTGATGATAAGAAGGAAGAGAATTTGTGGAATGATGAGAATGGTGGAGATAATGGCACAGAAGAAGATGATAGCAAAACGTTTTATAATAAAGCAAAATCTTTTTTTGATAACATTAGCTGTGAAGCTGTGGAAAGGAGTAAAGGGTAATGTTTTAATGTATAGGATCATACATATGGTAGACAAAATATTGTAAATAAGTTGTAATTTGATTTTGTAGTATAGTCATGTCACCTAGTACAGAAGTAGTCACTTAATGGCCTTGATGTCAAAGTTATCAGTTAATTAGCCACATTTGTGCTCATTGCATATAAACATTTCCCTAACAAACAGTATTATGTCTGACCTCTGATTCGTTAAGGAGCATTATCATTTGAAACTCATCTCTTTGGATCAGTGATGAGAATCTCAAATTAGTGAGTGTTACAAGGACAGATGTGTTGATAGCCTGTACAAAACATGGTAAAATTTCATATCGACAGCAGAACATTAAGCAAAAATCAAATTTAAGTAACAGGAATAAATGGATGTTAAAGCAGATGGTATCCCAAAATTGTAAGACCTAATTGTATAACCACCTAGCATAATAATCTGATAGAAAAATGTTCAGGATCTTGCTGCCTGCTGTCTCTACTGTGAAATGTGGTGGTTGTACAGTCATAAAGAGCAGAGGTCTCAAACTCATAGGCCACATGCAGCCTCTGAAGCAGTTTTATTTGGCCCATGAAATATCTTAATTATGTATTTTTTGCAAGTGTAGTTAGTGCTTATAGTTTTAGAGACATAAAAATATGTACTGTGTTTAAGTGTGCAATTGCTATCGAAAAGGAATAAATAGGTTTGGGCTTTGTCATTGTATGCTTGTATCTCAAGCCATGCGAGTAGGATACAAGAGAACTTCACAAATTGGTACTGTCAATAAATTTAGTTTTCCATCCAACAGTTGGTGACACTTCAGTATTCCAAAATTTGCATTTTACAGTTAACGTTATTTAATGATTAATTTAACATATTGGGATTACCTGAAATAAGTCAAAATTTAATATTTACCTGACAGTGCATTTGAATTAAAACATATAACTGACAGAAAATTCTTCCTGGTACTAACTTTTAGACTTTAGGTAGAAACTAAATTATAAACTTGAATTTTTCCCTTTGTGTTATTATTAATATATCAGATTCTAGTTTACCGCCACTGCAAATAGTTTGCATTGGCATGTTTAATCATATTTTTCAAACAATTTTTGGCATTTGAAAGAAAGGCTTTAGAACACTGTGCTGTGACATTTGTAAAAAAAAATACCGTTATCATTAAATACAAGGTGTCTGAAATGGAACTATTATGCTACCAGATTAGAACCATCATTTACTTCCAGTTCTGTCACAAAAAGTCAGCTACAGAATGTCATCAAATCATGTCTGTAGCTTTAGGTACTAATGTTGTATAGTATGATACTGTGAAGGTTTGGTACTGTAAGTTCAAGAACTATAATTCAGAAGTCAAACAACAAAAATCAGCGTTATATTTTCAAAATTTTCACAGGACTAGTTTGATGGTTTTACCGAACTACCATCCTCAGCTGCAAAACCGCAAATGAGCAAGATAGGAAATAATGATTAGATAAGGTAAGAAAGCCTGGACAAGAATAAGCAAGTGGTGCCATCTGTTGGTGAAACCAGAACTAAAACATAATTTCTTTCTTTAATGGCCGAAGGCAAAGATGGATTGGAATTAGGATCGTTAACTAGAACAGAAAGAGTTTTTTTCATGTGAAATGCCTCTAGAAAATCCAGTTCTCCAATGGAAGATGTTTTTTGAATAATTTTGGCAGCACGAAAGTTGAAAGTGTGATTTTTGGACCTACAATGTTGAGCAACAGAAGATTTCTGTGTTTCCTTTTTTCTAACATATGCCTCATGTTCCTTGACGTGAAATTTTAAGGTTCTCCTAGTTTAGCCAATGTAAATCAAACCACACTGGCAAGGAATCCTATAAATACCCCAAGAATTCATATCCGGAATGGGGTCCTTGAGTATGGAACTCGGAATTTTATTGATGGGAGAAATAAACAACCCAAAAGTTAAATTTCTACAAGATATGTGCAACTTTATAGCTAATTGATGGAAAGAAGGGAATGACAACAGAGTTTTTATAATCTCCTAAAACAAGAGTGTGCCTTTTAATGTGTTGAAATGAGAATTTTTTAACTGCTTGATTAATAATGTTGGCTGAAAAGCCCCTGTCAATAGCTCTTGCTTTTAAATAATTTAGTTCTTGAACAAGGGCTAGTTTGGTGGAGCTAACTTTTGTTTAGTCGGATGTCATGATTTAAAGTGTGGTGGAAGGCAAACCGATGAAGGTTTACGGTAAACCGTAGTACTGAAGTTGGATGTGTTACATGTGACCAGAATGTTGAGAAACGGAAGAGAATTGCAAGTCTCAAGTTAAAAAGTGAACTGAATAGCAGGAACAATAGAATTCATTGTTGAAAGAACTTTATTTAAATCATCTTTATTACCTTCAAACAGGGTAAAAGTATCGTCTATGTAGCGGAACCATGCCCGGAAGTTTAAAGTTTCAAACAATTTTGATTCATAATAATGCATGTAGATATCAACCAGGATGGGACTGAGGGGGCTTCCCATGGCTAATCCCTCAGTTTGCTTGTAATATTTATTTTGGAAAACAAAATGTGTTTGTTTCAAACAGAGTTGAGTGAGAGAAATTAGCTCATCAATTTCGATGCAAGAGAAATGAAATTCGCGAAGTCTGGTTTCTTGACATCTTAATGCACATCTTAATGTCTTAAGAACTATGCCATTCAAGAAGCAGAGTGCTCTGGCCGGCCTACTGATGTTGATAAGGCCCACCTGCAAGAACTTGTGGAAGAAGATCTATATGCAACCACTCGAGAGCTTGCTAAGGAGTTAAACGTAAGTGCAATGTCCATTAGCCATGCTTTGCATCGCATAAACTTGAACTGCAAGTTCAATCTCTGGGTACCGCACTAGGTAGCTGACCCGAGAAGATAAGGACAGATGTATTCAAACCTGCATTTATCTGCTGAAATATCAATGCAAGGATAAAATTCTGGACCGGATCTCGTGTGTGATGAAAAGTCGATTTCCTTAAACAACACAGGCCAAAAAGGGGGGTTGGTCTGCACCTGGTGAGCCTGTCAGCAGTGTCACAAAGTGCAGTTTGACTAACAAAAAGATCATGCTTTGCATCTGGTGGGATAGCTGTGCTATTATTCACCAAGAGTATCTCGGAAAAGGTAAAACCCTCGATAATTGTACAGCGAGGTGCTAGTCCGTGTTGATGCTGCTGTTAAGGAAATACATCAAACTGAGTTCCAGCGCAAAAAGGTAACGTTTCATCAAGAGAAAACAAATCCACATGTGTCTGCATTCATTACTACCCACACTTAAGGTAATCCTTTCATATTCCCCCCTGACTTTATTAAGAAAGTACTTTGTTACAACTTTTGTTACAACAAGAATGTTTTGACAAATATTCAGGAAGAGAAATTTGTTTTGTTTATTTAGTTTTGTTTTTTAAATGATTTAAGTTTTGTTAAAAAATGTATTGTGGCATGTCAGCTGCCTTCAGATTAAGCATTCAGACCGGATGCAATTTGAGTTTGAGGCCACTGGTATCTAGGTCCACTTGTAGTCTTGTATGAAAAGGTCAAAGTAGAGCAGCATTCTAGGTGATCATCTCCACCATAATTTGTGTTGCTTGGTGTGTTTGAACATGGTTTGGTGAGCAGAAATATGAAGTGGAACATATCAGGTCTTCATTTCCCTGACCTAAATGTAAGTGAATCTTTATGGTGTATTTTAAAAGCCAGCATGCATACTAGGTTTTCACATACAATAACATTATTTAAAGTAGACGCCACAATGCCTCAGAGATAGCTATAATGTTGTGCAAGACCTTCACTTGTCAGCTCCACAGTAAATGCCAGTATAATAAATATAGAGGTGGTCCAATTCTTTGCTTATAAAGATTTTGTGTTGTGTCACATGTGTTCGTATTATTTTGTCCGCAACCTGTATTTCATTTTATTGTACTGATTTTGGATGTAGTTAATTTGTTATCGGCTGATTGAATGGTTTTAGAAAGAAGGAAATATATTGAGAATGTTATTTTTTTCTGGAGTTTGTTACACATTTCTTGATAGTATAAAACCAACTTATCCCTTTGTTTCCAATTACTATTCCTCTCTCTCTGTCTCTCTCTCTCTTTTTGCCACCTTTTATATAGTACTAGCAGTATACCCATTCTTCACACTAAGAAAAAGGAAACTTTGCAATCCACACTTGAAGTGCTGAATATACTATAGATGTCATAAGTATGTGTTTTAGTGTGTTACTCTTAATCCGGTGCTGTATAGTAAATATTGAGATAGAGATTTGAGGGAAGCATAATTTCAATTGTCACTTATTATTTTAAACCAAAGGGTGAGGGTGTTGTAGTATGAAGTAGTAGTATATTATGTTGCTCTGTTGTACGAAATAATATATTGATGTTGCATTACTTAGATCTAATATTTACATTACTAAAATTTACACGTATAACATCAAATGAAAATAATAGCAGAAGTGTTGTTGAAATATACTTCGATTTTACCATTCATTAATATTTTTTTTAAATCCTTTAAGTAGTCTTTCTTGTGTATATTGCTAGATCTCTCTGAATCTCTTATAGCATTTAAATTGTGAAATATTTTAAATGTGTATTTTATATTTTATTTAAATACTATTATCAGTGCCACTCATTTTTTATATTAATCTCAGTCTGTTATGTGTGAATCATTTATATTAATTATTGAAAATTCATGGACATTTCTAGTAACATTGCTTGTTTAAGTTTATGAGCATCACTTGGGAACAAAATTGAAGTTTGAGGTGATTGATGACATGCTGCAAATGAACTGATTGTCTGTGCATGTATAATATTTTAAGCTTAAACTCTAAAATAACAGGATGTAAGAAAATATTCTTTTGGCTTATAAGTTAGATTACAGTTCAAGTTAATTCATTATGGATAGTCTTAACATGACAAACTGAAACTTGTCTTAGCTTGAAAAACTAAACTTTTCTATTGTCATTCAGGTATTGTTTGCTGTTTGTATGTTTTAAAATTGTTTCTGACAAGACCATAAGTACACAGTTTTAGTAAAAATTGAATGAAAGTGATGCATACATATATGGCAGGTTTCTTTGTCATAGATTGGAAAGAAAAAAGTAAACTAAAAAGCAATATCTTTAGATATTAATGAATACTTTTCAAAGATATTTTTCACAGTACATACATGGGAAAAAATGTATGGAATGTTTTAGCAAATAAAACTGGGGTTTAATGTTTATCGTATTTAGTTTTTTTTTGCATAAATACATACATACAATGTATCATAACCGATAATGTTTTTGATTTATTGAATAAGACTTATGAAATACTTAATTTTTTATGTTAGCAAAACACAATATCATGATAATTTTTTTCGGCAGAAATGTTCACCGGCTTGATTGGCGTCAAGAAAGAAAATTGAATGTTGAAACATTTGGTGTATCTGCAAACAATAACTGGATTCGCAGAAATGCATGGCGAGGTCGTGGTAATTACAGGAACAGAGGCTACCTCCCTCGTCGAGGAGGCAGTGGACATAGAGGTGGACGAGGGATGAATTTAGGTGGTGATAGACAAAGTACGTATTGGAATATCTTGTTATTTAATAAATAAATATAATTATTGTTGAAGTGGCAACTCCATATTTGTATTAAACCGTTACTCAGCAACGTGAGATATTGTTTTAAAAAAGATGAGAATTCTGTAGATTTTAACAGCTAGCAGTAGTATGAAAATTTTGCCACTTAAGAATTGTATAAAATTTGTCTATCACCGTGAACTAGAAATAAAATTTATGTTCTAATAAGAAGATTGCCTTTGTCAATTACTGCAAAATACGTTACAGTATTTTGCCCTCTCTTGTAATGCAGTTTAGTTTCTAAAAAATCTTGAAATTTATTTTTTGAGAATTTAAATTACTTCTGGCTACATAGTTTTAATATTAGATATGTGAGTAACATCCCTGCCAACTTTTACGAATTTTTCGTAATTTTTACGAAAATGCATTTGTCTTTACGATCGTAATCCATTTTTTACGATTTTTTTCCTTTTTCAAGTGTTTTTAGTGATTTTTTGTTGAAATTTTTAGAATTTTTCGCCAATTGCATCGTGTTTTACCGCCAACTACCAACTACTTCGAGTCCAGTAACCTGCGGTTTCTCCCAACTCGCCGCTTAACCAGCCGATCCAATGCGCTGAACTTGTTTCTCCCACTCTTTTCTTTGTGGGCACCAGATTATTTTTTTCGCGTTCGCTTCAGCAGCAAGGGAATTACTCAGCGAGCGTGGATTGTCGCATTCTGTGTGTTGTTTGTTTGTTGTTGTTTTTGTTTGTTTGCACGTGCTACGAATTTTCTTAATTCGTCGTTGTTACAAAATGAGTTAAAAAAAAAACGTATTCTCAATATTTTCGACCTGCCTACAAAGCCGAATTTCCAACAACTAAAGAATCCTTCAAAAGAAATAACTATGCATTTTGCAGCGTGTGTGACTTCATGATAAGTCACGGTGAAAGAAGCGACATTGTGAAGCATGTTAAGTCTAAAAAGCAGGAAGTTAATGCTTCGGCTTCGACAACATCAAAGAAAGTCAATGATTTTTTTTTTCAAATTCGGCTATGAATTTTTATGCCGATGTCATTTTGGCAGAGTGTTTGTTTATTGCATTCCTCATCGAACACAAAATGCTGCTAAGCGCTGCCGATCACGCCGGTCAACTTTTCAGATGGATGTTTCATCTTTTGAAAAGATTCGTTTTTTTATTGATAAATTTCCATTTTTGTTAACAATTGAATGCCATAATGATGCTTTAGATGAACTACGGAACCAATTTTCTGCTGCACAGTTTGAAGACTTTGCCAGTTCTGGAGAAGATAGACTTGATGTCCTCGTTGGTACCTTAAAAAGAATAAAAAGAGCTGATGGAACACCAAAATATGATAGACTAGCTAGAGTTTTATGTGCTATTCTCGTAATTCCACGCAGTAATGCTGAGTGCGAGAGAGTCTTCAATGTTGTGAAGAAAAACAAAACTATGTTTCGTTCTTCAATTTCACCAAAAACTCTAGAAAACATTTTAATTGCCAAATGTTATGAGGAAATTAATTGTTATGACAGGAAATTTTCCGAAGAATTTTTGGCTAAAGCCAAAAAATGCACTCTAAATTCATTGCAATATTTTTTTTTTTTTTTTTTTTTTTTTTTTTTTTTTTTTTGTGTAACATTAAGTTCTTGTTTTATGTTTCCTAATAAATTTTTTAGTTACTACTTAACTGAGATTTACTAATGTAAGTACAATTTTCTTTTTTCTATTTGTATAAATTGTTATTTTTTCAATATCAAAGCATGATATTAATTCTTCGTGTTCTTCTGAATTTTTATTTTTAGAGGTTGGCAGGTATGGAGTAATATTAGTGTTTATTAGCTAATATTCAGTTAAATATATTTCATGAAAGTAAAATTTTCTCATGTTGCAGCATTAAACCAGAGGTTGTCCCTTGAATAGTTGATTGGTGTAATGAGCATCGTATTGATTATAATGCACACACAAAATAATAATCTTTTAAAACTGAATTGTTTATTTACATAAAGCTATATCGTATCATAATGGGGGGACATAGGAAATACATATAAGGGCAAAATCCATAAAAACACAAGTGCATAAGTAAAACGTAGGAACACTGGAAAATACGACCAAAAAATATGAAAAATGCAAAAGTTTAAAAGATTTTGTTTGCTTTCAAGATATTAAAAAATAAAATTCATTATATTGAAAATAAAAGTATATGTGTCTAAAAACATCCATGTTCCTGTTCTCTGTGTGTTATTTCTAATTCAACTAATCAAGGTAAAACATTAAAAAAGTGTTTACCTTGTTCTCTGCGATGGCTATTGGTTGATCTTTCCTTTTCTTGCAATGCTTTGAGAGGCATTAATAATCTTTGCACAAAAACAGATTTTAATAGGATGAAAAATCTACATAATGTTAACAGATACAGGGAACAAATAAAATGTTTTAAAATGTGGCACGATGCAGCATGCAAGTTTCCCGTTTGGAGATCTCGAGCAATCTGCCCATCAGTTCATAGTTTATTATGACATCACACAGCAAAATCCTCCGGCCTGGAAGGACGCAATTGTCCTTATTAACGTTCCATTTTCACTCGATATAATAGTTGAACTGGTATTTTAATTATATGGCCGTTGGTCGAATGGACAGCACAGGCTCTCACCTTGCCATCTCTTCCTGGAAAAATCTCCATTATGATAGCCATCTTTCATATCAACCTTGGAATTTTATCTTCATGTACTAATACAACATTTCCTTTTGTCAAACAGGTGTTGGTTTTTGCCAGTTTGGAATTATAAGCAGATTTTAAATTCATCAAATAGTCCTGTCTCCATTTTTTCCAGGTTCTTTCTACCAGTATTTGTTGATGTCTGAATCTTTCCTGCGGCAGTGATTGTAACTGCCTTCCTATTAAGGAGTCAAAAGATTGTGGCTCTCCAAGATTCGAGTATGTAAACGTTAAGGGTTTGAAGTTAATATAGTTTCCACTTTTATGTCAAGTATAATTTGCTGAGGATTCTCTTCAAAAGAGTTTTCAGGCTGAAACATATGCACCCAGAAGCCTCCTCACCAGGTCGCCCTCTCAATTATAAATTTGTATATGATTCCTTGTTTAGAGAACTCGTCTTGGACTTTGTCTTTTTTCACCTGGTTCAATAAATCTAATTCTTTTTTTCACTATTTTAAATGTTTTGGCATTGTCTGTATACACTATTTGGCATAGTCTTTTTTTCACCTGGTTCAATAAATCTAATTCTTTTTTTTTTTTTTTTTTTTTTTTTTTTTTGCTATTTTAAATGTTTTGGCATTGTCTGAATACATTATTTGGCATAAACCTCTTCTCATTATGAACCATCTAAATGCAAGCAGAAACTTCTGCGTGGAAAGGTCAGCTGTAAGTTCTAAATGCATGGCTCTAGTTACAGCACAAGTAAACAGTAAAACATGTGTCTTGGATAATTCTTTTCCATTTTTAATGTACAGTGGGCCAGCGTAATTAATCTATTCCAGAGTTTACAAATGGGAAGGCTTCTTGGCATCTGTCTGGTGGGAGGGGTGCCGTATCTTGCATCACAAGTTTCGTGCGAAATATTTTGCAGATATTGTAATTGACCAGAACATGTTTAATTTTCTTACAAGCTTTCAGGAACTAAAATTTGTCTCTAAAGTTTTTTTTTTTTTTTTTTTTGTGAAGTGTCTGATATTCCTTTGTGCCCTAACACCTGATGACTGACAGTAAAGAATAATTAGATCAGTCAAATAATCTTTATCAGGGAACACAATTGGATGTGCTGTTTTTAATCCAACTTTGAATTTTGTAATCATCCACCAACACGAATTACAACATTTGCGTCTACAAATGGATTGAAGGACTTCAGTTTTGATTCATCGAAAAGTTGCATTCCCCGATTTTGAATAAGTTAAAATATTTTATTTCTAGGGGAACGAATTTGTGATCCATTAATGACAGGAATAATCAAAGCTTCTATTTTGATTTCATGTCGATACTTTGAATTATGCAAAATGAGACTGGTTCTTTTCACCTTCTGCGCTTCAGGCGTCGTGCACCTAAAAGAGAATATTTAGTCCAAAGGGGCTTTGTCCCTGAAGAACTATTGTTTTCAAGTTCTGCATTATATTTGAAGAAATTAAATAATGAAAAATCTGCATAAATGTTTGTAAATTTCTCGCATTGTAATAAAACAATGGTACATAGCACCATCGTTTTGAATGATGTAATCGTACTGTGAATATAGGCATATGGAAGCCTAAATATGGAATTTGTTTTATTATCGATTTCATATTTTGTAAGACTTTAACGAATTTTTTATTAACAAACTGAAGGATTTCAAGGCAAGCCATGGCAACGTTGTACAGAAAAAAACATTTTTATCCCTAGCACGTGAGACTGTGCATTGGAAAATTTAAAGACGTGTTCATTTAAAAATTATTTCGCGATAATGCTGTTGAACTGAATTTTATGGTTTAAGTGAACATGATATTTAATGAATAAAGGTCACACACAAAACATTAAAAAAAAAACCCTTTGAACGTAATTTAAAATCAAACCCTTGATTTTTTTCTTCTTTTAAATAATAATAAATAAATACGGAGGGTGTTTATATGAATTTAGAAAGATTTCTATAAAGAATGTTTTAAAAAAGTGTTTTGGAATAAAACTTTCTGCCAGCACCTTATTATATGAATGGAAAAATATTGTCTGTTCCTTCTACATTCATTCTTTTTCTTTTTTTTCCTTCTCCAATAACCTGTAGATTTAGCTTTACACATGTCCTCTGTAGTAAATGTTTGCTGTGATCCTAAATGTAACTGCATTCGAAAGCTCTGCTGGTGTCGATTGTTTATAATTTGAGCTCTAAGTATCTGAAGATGAACTAAGCTTTTTATTCTTGCATAGTAGGAAACTTTCAAAGTGTGATTTTCTTTCACTAAATGCTGTAATATGGCAAGATCTTTTAACTAGTCAGAGTTAACAAATTATTAATGTGGGAATCTATTATTAGTTCCTTCCAACCGTGGCGATCTTTTAATATTTTCACACCGTCTCGTAATTTTCTCTTAATGTATTGCAGTTTCTGCGTCAGGAGTGAGAATTGGCTTTAAATAATTAAATTTATTTATAGTTCATTTTCATGTACAGCTGTCTCAAATCGTGCCCAAAACCCCGGGCCAACTGGACACGTTTTTCCTGAAAAAGCTTCCGAGGCCAATTCTGGAAGATTAATTTTGTTTTGTGTTTCAGTGACAGTTCCACGTTAAACAAAATTAGCGCTATGTGGCTTAGTATCTAAATATCTCTTCGCGTGTAATTTTTTAAAAATTTCTTTGCAAGTGGGGTTAAATTATAAACAAATAAGTACTTTCATGTCAAAAGGTAGGTAGGTGTACCCTGCTGCTTATTTTTACCACTGATGATTTTTACCACCATTGCACTTTTCTTTGCACTTTTTTTTTTTATTCTATTGGGGTTTAGCACTAACTTTCTTGCATGTGACACATTTATTATAACCTATTTATTATTATTATTATTATTATTTTATTCTATTGGGGTTTAGCACTAACTTTCTTGCATGTGACACATTTATTATAACCTATTTATTATTATTATTATTATTTTTGGGGGGGGGGTATATATAAAATTCCCATATTGGATCTACTGGCATTCGCAAAATCGTGTCAACGTATTACATTTAAACTTTCCTTTTGACAAAATTACTTTCTAAACATGACATTGCCTGTAGAGTATGTAAGATAAGGCTGTGTGTTCCATTCTTCAATAATGTGATTCTGCATTGAAGAGTGACATTTAATTTTTACTCGTTTATTGTATTTTTTCTATTAAAAGTTAATTTTTGGTAAATATTTTTGTATAAATATGACATACGTGAATTTTGTTTTCTATTATTAGTGTTATGTGATAAAGCATTATTTGTTGTTTTTAATATACGTCAAGATATACACAATTTTTTACTTATTAAAAATAATTTAAAGATATATATCTGTTTTAAAGCATCACAAAAGTTTCTGTTGACAGTTTGATAATCACCAAATTTTGTGCAAATAAAGTTTCTCATTTTTATCAACTAACCTTGTTGGCAGCTTTAATAAGAAAGTACTGGTTGGTTTAAGTGATAGTTTCTTTACAAGCATTTAAAACATATTAATTTATAATCCTAATTAATACATTATTTTAAATGCTGCCAGCCATTACCATTTTCTGCTGTTTTTAACCAATTGCCACTAGTTCAGGCAATAAACTTGAAAAAAATGAATTTAAAATTTCATTTTAATTTCAGATATTCTGAAAAAAATCTAATCTAATTTCTCTACATAAATAAATTCATCAGAATTAAAATTTGATGCAAGGATTTCTCCACTATATGACATTTTTATATTCTTATATAAGCTTAATTTTATAAGATATGTAAATTTAATATTTCTCCCTATGCAGATCTCCTCCCATCAAATGTTCCAGTTCAGCAAAAGCGGTGAGAAATGAAACTACCAAAGTAATCTTTCTTAATTTTTAATGCTGCTGAGCTGGCAGCATAGTGGTCAGCTGGTGTGCAGTTTGATACAATCAAGCACATGGACGTAATTTTATTAAAAAATATTTTATGTAGTTTTGCAATTTGACGTCCCTTTTGTAACAGCAAAAAGGATTTCTCTAAATAGTTTAATCCTTAATTTGACAAAATTATATTATCTTTATTTCAGTATTTTATAGTATTGTAAATAGGTGGGCATTGATATGTAAAATTACTAATGATGTTGCTAAATTATATTTTTAATCTTCTGGGGAAAATATGAAATTTTTATTCAAAGATTAATCTTATTTTGCTCTTCAATAATTGACATATTTTTATGTAGAAAGAAAAAACTGCATTTTTTATAGCTACATGTTATAACAATAATAGTAATTTACGGAGAATGTTTTTTTCAGTGATGTAACTGTTTTATTGGTAGTTCTTTTTTGTTATTAATAATATTTGTCACTGACATTTATTTAACAGCTGGTGGAATTTTTCTAATTTGCAACTTAAAAAAAGAGTTATAAGTGTTATGTAAAAACTTTGAAACCAGAGGGTTTTTTTTTTTTTTTTTTTTTAGTCTGAAACTTTTGATTTATGATATCGAACCATCTGTTAGCTTGATGTTTTCTCTATTCTGTAGATTTTGTAGTTATTCACGCACACTTAGCTCATCTTTTTAAATATGAATATTGGAACTGTATTTTTTTATCTATAACTGTAGCTTTCTTTGAATTTTGTGATAGGTATGTAATTGATGCATCTCAAAAGTACAGGTTATCAAGATGTAAATGACAGTTTTGAATTATAGGCGATTAAGCCAAAAATGTGACATTTTATTCACTTTCTGAAATCTTGATTGCTGTTTATATCAAGATTTTAGAATTGTTGAACAATGTGTAATGAACTACCCCCCCCCAAAGTTTAATATCAATAAAAGCTTGTTTATTTAATATACTTCAACATATTTTTTCTGCATCAGTATTTGTTGTGAAATGATATATAATTTGCTATTACAGCAAATCAACAAGGTGTACTGGTACTTATTTAAAGAGTCGATAAGTGATCATAGTTAAAATTAACTCCCCTTTTTAGTACTCTTTATTCTCATTTAAACTTCATATGAAAAATAAAGTTTTGTTGCGGAGTGTTCTGGTTAATATAAAAAATGTCCACTTCATTCATCAAAATGTAACTGTAAAATGTATGCTGTACTTATAGAATTAGAAATTTTACATGAAATATACCTTGCAGTTTTCAAGCTTATAATAATTTTTAACGAAATAACTTATTCTAAATTCATACATTTTACAACTTTTTAAATAAGTATCCATTTATCCTAAATATAATAAAATACAACTTTTTCTGAGCAAAAAATAGAGTTGGGCTTCCCATGTTTGTACAATAGATACCAAATAAATTTTTTCTTGATGGAAAAAAATTGCTTTTAATTCACATGTTTTAAATAACAGTGTGTGTCTTTAATGAGCGAGTTATTTATAGTACATGAAAAATTGGAGAGTTCTGACACGGTAAAATTAGTCTTTCAAAATTTAATTTGTGCATGTGATTGTCCAAAGTTACATTCAAAATATGTTGGCTTCTGCTTTAATGCTGTTGCTGTAAACAGAAAAATCAAGAATGAAATAAAAATTTTCTTTATTTTAAGAGTGTGAAATGTACATTTATATATATCTTGCTGTCTACTGGACCATGACAGCATTTCAAAACACTTCACATAAATGCAGAAATGTATATTTAAAATCACCTGCTTTTCCTGATGAAATGAATATTTCTTTATTATTTAAACCAAGCTAATTTATATCTGGTTTGAGATAATTTATGTATTAAGGCACAGACAGAAATGTTAAACTTGTTTAACTAATGCATAATAATGTATTGTAAAATATGTAAACTTAATCTTGAATGCATTTGTACATACTGAATTAAGATTTATTGTTTCTGCATTTATGTGCTGTACTTTAACACATTCATTAAAAACAACTATTTTATCGACAAAAACACATTTACATACATCTATACAAAAAAATACATTAAATATGCAAGGCAACTTTCACACAACATGACAATATATCCAAGGCAAACACTTAGGACTGAATTCACTATGAATGTACAAAGAACTAGACCAAGACCAATAATCATTCTGCATTACAGCAAATGTAGAAATTTCTGAATTTAATACACCACAAAAATTGTCAGATATTTTGATATTTAAAAAAGCTACTGCGATTTCATATTGAAATCTGGATATAAAACAATTCATCTCTTATTTTGTGGACAGATTTTTTGGTTTCCTAGATTTACAGAATTTTTTCAGTATAGCTGTCCAAAAATAGTATTGTATAATTTGGGCAAATATAAAATATTTAAATTGTTTCAATCCTTATAAATGCTAATTTCTGTAAATAAAATTAATAATACTGAAAAGTTAGAGAAATTCAAATTCTTTTGACTGTGTTCAGTGCGATTTTACTTTAATCCTGTGTTACTAAAATGTGTATTTTAAGAATTCAACATTTTATATCAATTTTAAAAAACAAAAACTATTATCTTTTAGAGGTAAATGTTTTTATAAACATTTAAATTTACAATTATATAATTTTCAGTATATATATATTACATCTCTTTTCATTTAATCCTCACTTTGTATAGTTATAAAATTTGCATTTACTTCCATATGATATTTGTTAAAGATGTAACTAAGTGATAAAGTGCACCATTTCTTATTACTTTAATGTTTTTTTTTTTATATTCTTTAAACATTTTATGTAATATAAGAAGTTATGCAACCAATAAACGAAATTTAAGCTCCGTTTTTATGGCTAAAAATTGAAATTTCTAGTGACATACAAATATAATGAGGAACCATTTAATAAAAGACACTTCAGAAAGACAGTAGTGTGGCACTAAAATAAAACAGTTCTATAACACTATTTTAAGAAACTGGGAGAAAAATCCAAGTAAAGAAAAATGTGTTCTTTTGTATTACGAATTAACTCTTTGAAATCCAGACCCTTCGCTAACCTGTATCCTCAAAATACCGAACCGCCCGAAATAGTTTTCCAGTTTCACAGCAATTTCCTCCCCTCCCCGTTCATTAACACAGAAAATAAGTGTGAAGATTTCCAATGACATCCTTTGTACTTTCTAACAAATATTCCAATAGCCTTTGACCCCACTCCTTATAAAACTATTCTGAAGGTCGCCTTTTTGGCTTTGTTATGATCACGACTGTGATTTTGTTTAATTCCGTTATTTTTATAAGAAGGAATAAATTGATTAAAAATAAATATAATCCTTAAATTTTGAAACTGTTCTTTTAATATTGTTTAAAGCTTAAAAGCACACTGTACCACAAAAGAATCAACCAAATGTCACAATCGACCAAAAGATAATAAAATCTCTTAGGACAAACTGTCTGCAGTAAGCTGATACAATGCATTTGGGGAAATTGCACCTGCTACTGCATGCATACCTTACGAGGAGGGAAGAAAACAAGATTACAATTTCGGCCGTTTTCGTGCGGTTCTGGTTGTTTCAATGTAGGGCCGTGTCGGGTGGATTGGGTGTGACATTTTTTACATTCTCCAGCCTTTGAAATGTAAGCAGGTTATTTAGTAAAAATATTTTACTACCCAAAATTTGATTTCCTTTAAAACAACAACACTTGTGAAATTGAGTAATCAACATTGTTTAAAATTTAACTGCTGGCAGAAATAATATATATGATATTACAAAAGGACTTGCCAGCAGAGTTTTCATTGGTATTTTCATACATGGCTGAGAATATGATCATTAATTGAAAATTATTTGCCAAGTATTTGACTGTTCCCTCAAGTAATAACTTTTCCAATTGATGAAATCTGTGTAAGACGATGAAGGATTAAAAGCAGTGCACTTGAAAACTGGAGCAGCCAACTTTTTCTTTCTGGAATATAAAAATTCTCTTCTAATTTAAAGTACAGTTATAAGTAAATGTTAATTTGTAACAAAGAGGACAAATCACCTTTTCATTACTATTACATTAAAATGAATAAAATATGTACTCTCAATGCTACCATGGTAGATAATGCAATCTACATATTTTTATACTGCATGACTTCAAGTCTTCAAATTGCACATTAAATTTCAATTTAACAAATTCTAAAATTCACTGAATAATGTAGATAGAGAAGTAAAAACAAACACACATACTTGAAGTATCACGGGATTTTATTGAAAGAAAAAAAAAAAAGACCAACAGATGGCGCTTCGTGTGATAGTAAAAGCAATAATTAGCATAACAATTTTTAGCAAATACTAATGTTCTTAATAATAAATGTTTAAAATGTTGGCCATCATTCATCAACCTGTAGTCAAAGGACAATGTTGTGAACAGCACTGTAAAGCACATCTGTACGTATCGTTAGAAATTGCTATCTGATATTGTCTTAGCATTCCTAACGAAGTCCGACGACCGCGGTAGACTTGCGATTTCAAGTAACAAACGGCCAATAATCCGAATTGAGATCTGCGGACCTGATATGCCAAGTATGATTGAAGTAGCGGCTCAACACACACTGTGTGCAAGATATCTTTCCCACTTGTTTCAATAAAATTATACATTATTCCACGAGTTACTGAATTTTCAAATGTTAACAGATTTTTTAGTCACCTGGTATATCACGGTTAGTACAGGTAAGCTTTTATATTTTTGTAAATAATGTGAAAGAATAGTGTATGTATAAAAATTTGTTAGACTTTGAAATATCCTACAGAAATACATTCCAAGACTAAAGTAAGGCACTGAAAAGTCAAAATCATTGTGAAATTTTCTTTATTAATTGAAATTTTTATCAGTTTTTCAAAGTTCAAGTGTATTTGAGGAAAATGATTTTGGAATAACACTAGTGTTAATAATAATCTGAAAATTACTTTTTCATTTGAAGTGTGGCTGCACGTAAATTGAAAATTATCATTTGTAAATCATCATTTGATACCTGAATTTTACTAATTGAATATGAGGCTACACTTTGTAGCCTCATATCATTATAAAGTTCAGCATCATATGAACTTTATAATGTCATTACAATTTAGGTATATTGTAATGACTTTATAATGTCATTACAATATACCTAAATTAAAAAACATCAAACACCAAAACAAATATCCCAATTCATCAGTATCGTAGGAAACTCGTCATAACAGAAGCAAGATCAAATCATTGTTGGTCTTTTTCTTGATGGAATTATAAATAGCAAATTCTGTGATATCCTGTACAAAAGTCTAGAGGAAATAATTTTACTGATGCAAAGTAAGTTCAAAAGATCTAAATGCATCTCACAAATAAAATTTTATGTATTTTGACATACTTAAAATGAAAACCAAGGAATATCAGTTATTTTATATTTTTTCTCTCCTCCCCTTCAAGCTGCAATTCTTTTAAATTATCCTGAAGAGATATTCTTATTTAAATTAGCAATAAAATCCTATTTGTGTTTCAAGCAGACATAAGAATCGCCAATTTGTTACTCACCAGTATTACAAAATGAATCATCTAAAAATCATTCAGTTTTCCTTTCTTAACAATCTGCAATAAGTGGCATTTTATAGCATAAGAATGACAATTAAAAAAATACATTTGTAATACCATTTACCAGCCAAGTCAATCGCAGCTGAGAGGAGACAATTCTAACACATAAAACCGTGATTCCTTTAGTATCATAGTTGATATAAAAAATTCTCATTTTGTGCCAGCTTGGAAAAGTGTCATTCTGCAACTTGCTAACATCGCATGTAATGGGCTTCTAATAAATCAGCTGGCATTCCTGTGTGTTTTTTATTAGTATGATTTTTTGTTTATGTTTTTAATTAAAACTGTACTTGTACACTTCTTTTGCATTTCTGTAACCATTAACATCAGTAAACCAAAAAATTGAATACTCATCATGTTCCCGAAGAATATGCAGTACCTCCATAGCCATTATTTAAAAGGCATATTTTAACTTTACATAAAAAATATCATCCATATTATCCATAAAATAGTAAGTCGAGGGAAAATAAAGTAGGAGATCCAAAGACATGCATCATTCACATATATATATTTTTAAAAAAAAAAAAAATTTCTGGTGGGGAAATGGCAATTTGAGAATTACCGTATTTGAAGGCAAATAAGACGTACCCTTATTTAGAAGGCCACACACATGTAGATGTAGAAAAAGTTGTGTTTCTAGACCTTTATCCGGGCTAAAAATAGCATTCAGTATTGAAAGTTAACTGAGTTACCTTACGAATTGAAGTTAACCTGTGTCCTTCACGTATAAGACGCATGTAACTTTTTTGAGACCAAATTTAGGAAAAAAAGTGCGTTTTATATGCCGTCAAATACGGTATATATAAAAAAATTATTTCTGCACTTAACCCTTACTGCCGGGCGTATAAACGCCTGCTCAGCCGATGCGTTAACGCCCCAGCATATAATATGTCCTTCCAAACTGCTATCATTGCTTTGCGCTGCTACACCTAAAAATTATTCGCAAAGCTTTGGAATGCAACACCACATGACCTTGACAAAATATGCGAAGGAAAATACTATTCAGAGAAGTGTGGGAGAATTGGAGAGAGAGGTGTGTCTAAAGCGGTTGAAAGTAATGACTGCGCAGTATTGGCTAGTGTTGTTTGAGTAAAACATTTTTTTTTTTTTTTTTTTTTTTTTTTTTTGTCCTGTGTCCTCTATTTTCGTTACTTTTTGTAGTAGGTTCCAGAATAAAGAAAAGATAACGGATGTTTCAACCCATTTATCTTTTTTGAATTATTTTTGAACTGCTCTGCTTCATATTGTTACTAAAACTAAGTTTTGTAGACGAGTATATGAACTAACACCTTGCAAACAAAAATCAAGAACAAATCGTGGCATTCAACCAGTTCAGAAGAAATAGTTTTTTTAGGCATACTTGATTTTCCCAAGTATAACATGAAACCTGATATTAGACTTTACTGGTCTAAAAATGAATTGATCGAACTCCATTTAGGGACTTTTTTTATATAAAACCCTCATTTTTATTATACTTTTACTCAATTTTGTGCATTCATTTTTTTCTTTATTCTTTATTTGTGAAAGTAAACAGTTTTAGAAAGTAAAACTTGCACTTATTTCCCCCCTAATACAACGCATAACTGCGCACGCCTGTGTGAAAAACCGTGGCACTGGGAAATGAATCTTGTACGTTTTCCGCGGCAGTTAAGGGGTTAACAATCTTGCCTCGTAATACTGTAATGTAGTTGACTGTGAATATATAGGAAAACAGCTATATAATGACATTAATAGATGTTCTTGCTTTTCCCTTCAATTTGATGTATCTACAAATATAACTGACAGAGCACAATTACATATTTTTATTTGGATGGTTTTTACCATCCAAATAATTCCTGTGTAATTCGCCTACAGTTAGCCAGCAAAAAAGGAGAGGACAAAATGCTAATGAAGGACAGCCAGAATTATTCTAATACTGATGTAAAGTAGAAATACAATTTTGTGATTAATGAGAAAATTTTCTTGAAGAGCAGGATCCCAGCAGTAATTCTAGATTACTGACGGAGAAGTGCTCCAGTCACTAATGACTTCAAAACTTTCTTTAACTTATTACAAAAGATTTAAAGACTAGTGAATATTTCAGAACAGAAAGAAATAGAGATTCAACAGGTTATTTACTAAAACAGAAGTTCAAAGTAGCAAAGGTTTCAAAAAGCCTATTTCAAGATAACTATAGAAAATTCATTGATTTAATGCTGAAAATGCGGGGAATAATTTTTTTAAACATACCAAGGAATTGGAAATAAAAGGGTTATTTTTTTTTAACTCTTTTCAGGAAATTTAGGAATAAAACTTTATATTTAATGGAAAACTTTTTTTTAGATGTTAAATTGTAACTTAAAATTCTCATTACATTTACATATATATATATATAGTCTTTTTCTGAAAAATAGACATCCTCCAAAATAAGCCCTATTGTGATTTTCGGAATTTTGTAAATAAGACATCTCCCGAAAAAAATCCCTAGTTAAAATAATGTGACAAAAAGAATTGTTAAAAAATGCTGTTGATTTATTAAGTAATAATATGTTTAGTTTTCCTAATACTAGTTTCAGAGAAATGTTTGAAACAAAATATTCCGAGAAATTAATTGTTTACATCTACAGTTCGTTTCAAATTAATTCTTGGAATTTATCTTAACCAGATGAATTTATCTTAACCAGAATTATCTTTATAGGAATTTATCTTAACCAGATTTATCTTAACCAGAATTTATCTTAACCGTTTGCCTCGAAAGAGATACGTTCACAGGAAAGGCAACGTCATCCGTTAGCGTCGGCAGACTCTCGTCGGGGTGAAATTTGGGCTGAAGTAACCCCCGAGACACATACGATGCAGCGACGATAGCTGTATCGCAAGACATGAGAGATTCAGACCAAAAAGGGTGATTGATGGGTAAAAATTCATGACAAAATAACTGATAGTGATGTTTCCAATGCACTACAAACAGGCTACTTAAACAAGAAGTATCATTACAATAGCATATCGCAAGACATGAGAGATTTGAACCAAGATTCAACAGGAAATGGATTTAGAAGAAAATCAGATTATAATTCAGAATTTTATTTATGACGATGTTCCAGAAGAAGATGACATGACTGTAATTGAATAAATTAAATTTCTGTATTCTGTGTAAATAAATATTAAATAAAAATATAAATATACTTTTATTTTTGCCCTTTCCCGAAAATAAGCCCTAGCGCTAATTTTGGACCAAAAAAGAAAGTAAGACAGTGTCTTATTTTCGGAAAAAGACAATATATATAAATCATTTTAGCAAACTTTTTATTGAAAAGAATTTAAAAGCTGTAGTGAATGCAAACACATACTTCATTTATATGCTGTCATGGATTAATTCATGACTTTTCTATCAAAATTATTATTATGAAAGACTTATTCATTGAATTTGCACAATCAGATTTATTCTACAATTTATCCTAGCCAAATAAACTTCTGCACAAGTATATTTGCATTCCTTTTGGTTAATGCTATTTAAAATGCACCCTTTACATCTTTATTATTCAACTGTGCATTATGTTACTGCACATGAATGAATTTACTTTCCTAGATACAAATACAAACCTTGATTGGACGTCAGTTACAAAGTTTCACATTTCTCTGTCATCATCACTGTCAACGTCACCTTCATTAGGAACATCTGCTAGATGAATATTCCCAATCAAATCCCTCATGGCATCTAATAGAGAGGTAACACTACGTCGAAGATCATTTGTGTCCCTTGGTTCTCCACCTTGTGCACCAGCTTCATGAGGTGCCTCTAATGCAGGGTCTCGAGGCTAAAATCAATTGTAGAATATTTCATAAATGTGGGGTATTGAACATTTATTTTATATTTATTATATTCAGTTGTAAATATAGTTTTAGATTATATTGAAAAAAAATAAAGCTTCAATAACCAATTGTTCAGTATTAAACCTGAGCTAGATTACTTAAATTATTAAGATTTATGATTACTACATGAATTCAAGATAATATCCAGACCAGAGCAACAATTGTTTTTGGATGAGGGAATGATTCAATGGAAATGATATCTCAGTTTTGAATGTACAACTCTGCAAAGATTACAATATATTTTTAATGGAAAACTTTTGTTAGCATGATATACAAGAGAGACATAGACTATATCTGTAACATTGAGATTTGCTCTCGCGAAGGCAAGAAATTGTTCCTTCAGTTTTTTATCCTTATCTTTCTATGTAGAACCATATCTATCAAGACCATTATTATAACAGTGCTTCTACAACTGATTTACAACTGAAAAATAAATTTAGTCTCTAGAACGATTAGCATGAACATAGGTTCCAGTCTAAAAGCCAAAGCATCAAGAATGAAGAAAATTGACACAGTATTCTGTAGATGAGGTAGAATTCTTCATCTCATATTTAAAAATAAATGAATGTCAGAATGATATCAACAATTCATGATACTTCTGTCTCTATCATAGGAAAGAAAAATGGAAATGGTATAGTAAAACCTGTGTGTATAAATGAATAGAATGTCCACATGAAAGGCATTGGTCAAACGGACCAGTATTTTTCATATCCTACTCTAAAGAAAAAGATGAAATGGACCAAAAAAATTTGTCCTTTATCCCATAAGCTGTGAACTTTTCCATTGTTTTAGAATCTACAATAATAGAAAGCTATAAACTAAGATCTGCTTCTCCAAACATGGCAAAATCTTGGATTACTGGTAATAATTGTGAATGCTTTCAAGAACCAGAGTGAGATATGTGCAGGAACAGCACCAAGAAAAGATCCACACAAAAAGTTGTCAGGTGACATGAAGTTGCATGAACCTCAGTTTATTTCAACCAATAGAAAAAAGAAACTTCACGTAAGAACCAGTAGAGTTTATACAGGCCAAAGAAAAAGAACTGAAACATTGTATGCATCTTGTATGGTTCCTCTTCATACAGAAAACTATTTCATTCATACTTTAGAAAAGTACTAGAAGCATTTTCATATATAGGCTCTTTACTAAATACAATATTTCGAATAAATAGAACTATAAAGGATAAGGTCTCAATAAATCAAACTAAATGGCTCAGAGATAATTTCTGCATATTATCTAGGTGTCTCAATTTAGGGCTAAGTGCACAATGGTATTTTTAATAGGGTAATAAAACCATATTTTTATTTGTTGGTGTGCCTGATGTACTGTGTTATTCCTTTAATATTATTAAGGATTATGCAGATTATTTTTGCACAGAGTTCATAATTTTATGAAGATTTAGTTCACAAAAAAGCAGTAATTTTATGCACACACTGCAAATTGTTTCATAATGTAAAATATATTTCATATTCAAATATTAAATAATTAAAATAAAGCTAAATATATATAATATTATAAAAAGAGGATATATAAATAATATAAAAAACATAGTTAACTGCAAAAGAAACAGCCTGCTGGGGAAAAATATGCGGCTACTGGATAAGTTTGGGAAAAAATAGCTGGTCTTTAATGTGTTAATAACTGCACTCAAGAATTTGCTAAAATAATTCTAGTAATGCAACATATATTTATATAATAAATATAGCATACCTTCTACCACAATCAACCATAAATGTGGGCAAAGTTTCTGAGGACATAAAGAAACACTGGTATTGAATACTGCCAACAGTTACATGTTCTAAGGTTATGTGACCATCTTCACTGAAATTGTTTGGAATCTGGGTGATTTCATTGCAGCATATGAGAAATTTGGGGGGGGGATTAAATTTTCTTCTAATTTTATTTTATTTTAAATCAACAAAATTATTTTGTTCTAAACTGGCTTAAAATGTTTTTGTGATTTTAATTAGACTTAAACTGATCACATTAAGCAGCAGAGCAACAATTTATAGAAATAAAATTGTTTTTCTGAAAATGACTTTACTAGTCATCAAAAAAACTTTAAAAAAAAAATACTATAAATTTTACTTCTTTGATTAATTTGATTTTCTTAAATCATTAATATCCCCCTTCTCAAGAACATTACGATACTTTTTTTAACAGTGATTCATATATCATATTACTTTTTCCTAAATACACACATGTATACATGTGCATGCAATGTGTAGGAGAGTGACACCACCACATTTGTTGCTTGGCTTTTCTTCTAAATCATTAAACATTAAACACCAATCCAAGCAGATAGTATGTGGAAAGGAAAAACCTAAGATAGTTATCAAATGATGAATATTGCTTATATTTTGGCAATTTCATTTTTCTCTTTTTAACTTTTTCTGATACATACATGAATAATTTGCGCAAAACTTTCAACTTGCACTCGGATAACTGGTAGTGTACTCATGTACATAAATGTTAGATGATTCACATATTACATTATTGAAACATTACACTTTAAAAAAATTATGACGTTAAGCAAATGTAGATAAAAACTACATCATTCACAAAACGCACATTTGCGTATATTTGACAGAAAATAGCAGTGCTTCAAATTCACATTTTCTTAATTTGTTCTCTTTCTGTAACAGGCTCTTCTGTCTCATCTGATATCATCCATTTTAGATAAGCTAGTGTTTTAATTCTAGCCATGTCAACTTGCCAAATTAAAATATCAGAAGATTTTTCTTGAAAATCAGAATCATTTTTCACCGACAAAAATAAATTTTAAAACAGTAAAAGTATATAAAATGAAATTCTTTTTTTAATACCAAAAATAAATACTATCTAACTGATATGTGTCTGAAATTTCAATCTATGAGCTTTAAATGCAGTCAGTAAAATAATACTCATATATTCGGGGCTGTACCTAATGGGGGTGCAATGAGTAAAAGTATGCAGGTGGTCGGTCTCTCGCAATACCACGACTACATATTTTAAATTCATTGCAAGTACTTGTCACATGTAAGTACTTTTTATGCAATTTGTTATATGTAAGTACATAGTGAATACGAAATAAAAATTTTATTAATCACTGAACTTTTTTTTTTTTTTTTTTTTAATTTTGGGGTGGCAATTCTAGGAAAGTACGCAGGCAGCCAATGGTCTAGGAAGGGCCCTGCATATATTAAAAATATGCAATGTATGTAGCTAACAGAGTTAATGTAGGAACTTACAGTGAAGATGAAAGGAAATTTTATTTACATGTTAAAAGTTAGTTTTGCAAGTACGTGATTACATACTATATTTATTTCTAATTAACACAATGTTTGTTTAATAACTATCACAGTTTTAGTTTTTGCAGATGAAAATTTCTAAGTAATTTTGCAATTAACAAACTTTTTTTAAAAAATAAAACGACAACAGGATCAGAGGTATTCAATGAAAGACTTAGGTAAAAAAGAAAGAGAATAGATACATTGCATTAATAACTTTCTGATCTTTTACTTTTGCAGAAAAATTTAATTTTCCTTCTTTTTCAATACAATCTATGTTTTCCTCGCATTCTAGTGTCCATACACATTTTAGTGTATCAACCATTCTACCACAAGAAATCAAAACATTCCAGTCCCAAATGATACACATTTCAATTTTTTTAATGAAATATTGTGAAAAAAATTACCTGTACACATTTCTTGAAAAGCAGAAGAGTATTTTACATTTTTTTTTAGTAATATAACAACATAAGTAAGTAATGTAAGTAATCTTAAGTTTATTAAGAATTTTAACAAGTATGTACAATTCAAATCACTTAACATGCAGAAAATTATTTTGATCTTGTTTCATGCTTACTAGCTAATGAATGCCAGATGATCTGCAGTTGCAGTTAATGCCCACCGAAGAAAAGGGTCATAACATTTGCAGACGCATCTTACTCCTACATGCATAGCAGTTAGGCAAAATGTTTTATTTTTAAAGAAAAAATGGGTTATCAGAAGAAAAAGAATATGACTTCAGATGCTTTAAACTGCATTTATGGGTGAAAATAATGAAATATTAAGCCAAACTAATAAAAATCATGAGAAAATTTAGAAATAAAAAATGGAAAGAGAAATATACTGAAAATCGAATTAACAGGAGTGCATTTGAAAATCAGGAGTCTGCAACTTAAATCAAAAGAGTTGGCAAGTCTACAATCCTCATTTAAAAGAACTTTTAAAAAATAATAATACTTTTAAAAAGAGAATAATTGCTTGATTTGCAAAACCTGAGTAACAAAACTTCTTATTAAACAATATAAAGACGAGAAGTTCTGAACTAAAATATCATGTTCCACATAACAGAATATTATCTTTCCTTTCTTTCTTTCTTTTATATATATATATATATATATATATCAAAAACATATAACGGCAACACACACGCATATAATATATATATATATATATATGTTACTGCTAAAGTGCGAAAGTCGTTAATGTAGAAATGACCTAGCTAATCTGCAAGTTAACTGATTTGCTCCATTAAAATGCAGAATCAAGAGTTTTCCACATTTTACGCAAGTAATGTGCAGATTTACAGTTTCTGTATTGTTAAAGTTCAAAAGTGTTTCTCTCATTTCCTTTCCCTCTCCATCCACTTTGCACATTACCTACTAGACACTCACTAATCTGCACACTGCCTTCTAAGCACTTGTTAAACTGAAAATAAGATCTTTCCTGGAACAACAGCAATGTTTCTATACGCTTAAATTAACATAATGCCATTTATTTATTTATTGATATCTAAAAAAAAAATCACACTAATCAAAGAATCAACAAATTATACGATAGAATCAATTCATTAATCAATTAATAAACTATAATACAAAGAATAAAGCAGTTTAAAATATTACAACTAAAAAAATGAATTTGCAAAATGTAAAATAAAATTATGCTCACTTATTAGTGCAATCTAAAACATTGGTGACACTTTAAATTACATGGCAAATGGATTTTGGTACAAGTACACCTATTTGTGGTACATTTAGATTTCCAGTAACATTTTCTGAAACCTTTCTCGATCAACAATTTAAAAGTGTAAGTGGCAGATCTTCTAAGCGTACAGTAACATTACTGTTGTTCCAGCATAGATCTTATTTTAATTTTAACAAGTACCTAGTAGGTAATTTGCAGATTACCCTTTGTAATTTGAGAAGTGAAACAATTTTCTGCCCCTGCAGATTAACTAGATAATCCTCAAAATAAATGATTTCTGCACTTTACTGGTAACATATAAATACATATATGCATTTGGAACCACTAATTTTAAAAAGTCTTTATCAGAGCACAACCATCAACTTTCATTTGCAAAATACTATGCCATATGAACTCAAGAAAACTTTTCAATAAGTAGACTGTTAATCAAATAAATAAAATTTTCTTCTACAGTGAAAAATAAATTTTTTTCACAATCACACATTTAAAATACTTTTAGAAATAATCATCTTACCATATTGAAATTCGGCAGCAAAGATCGAAAGAACATACTCAGTACTCCTCTATCATCTGGTACAGGTCGCCTGTAAATTGAAATAAACTTAACTGATATCTAACATAATACTGATGCGTGTTAACAGCTCATGAAGTTCTAAATAAATAAATCATTTGAAGAAGAAAGCTTGAATATTTATAGCAGCTACGAGCATTAAAAGTTTTTAAAAATGATGAAAAGTAGTGTAAAGTAGCTAAACACAGCTAAAGTGAGAATCAAAAAATACTTCTCTATTCTGCTTAACACAAAAATAAATGCTGTGAACTATAGAATTGCTCAAGAATGGCTAAAATAACTTGATATTTAAACTGAATGGAATTTTAGACAAGATTAATTATCAACTAACTCAGCATGTTGTTCATACTACAGTGAAAAAAGGCTACAGTTTAAAGTAAAAATTCAAGTACAGACTATAAAAATTCAATTAAAAAAGCTTCCAAAATTTTATCAAGTTGGTGAAAAACAGTCTACATAGTGTATCACAATTCCATATACAAACTATGAGATGAGTAAAACATCGATTTGATTGGTTTGCAAAAATTTTGAAAGCTGTGAAAATAGAGGTTAAAAATAAGAACTTTTATGGACATGATGCACATAAACTTGTATAATGCAAACAATATACAATCTAAAGAACTATGCGATATAAGGTAAGCAGAAAAAATATGCACTTGGAAACTGATGCATCAGTTCTACATAAAATGGCTTTATGATGCTTAAAACAAAGAAATGCAATAAATTATCAATTACGGTTTTTTTTATTTCTAAATATGATTAACAAAAGAATTCCTTTTCCTTGTAAAAACTGCATATTTTGGTTTCCAGAGAAGAAATTAATTCCAAACTTTCATACCTAAATGTATAAGTTAATAAGTTTTTTATGAAGAATCAATAGGTTTACTAAGTTGGAGATTTCAGGGTTGTCCCAAATATCAATATTTGCAAACTCAAATACCATATCACAATTATGTGTGCCTGAGTAGCCCACAAATATGAGTCGATATATTAGCTTTTATATGCCTTGTACAAGGATAGATAAACTTTTCTTTACCTTGAAGGTCTAGCATATGATGATATGGAGTCTGTTGGCGGAACTGGATCAAATCCAAATATAGGAGTAGACATCATATCCTTAAAAAAAAAAAAAAAAAAAATGTAGGATACATAAATTATTAATTAATTATAAAGATATATACCTAACTTAGCAAATATAAAATTCATATTCAGAATTTACTTGGTTGTTTAGAAATCAATTTTGTTTTTCTTTTGGGGGGGGGAGAATAATTCTCTTACAGTGTATCAGTATTTTTATTGAACAGTCAACCCCCTGGATATAATGAATGAACCATTTGATCCTGTCTAATTTCCTACACACTTAATGTTATTTTGCCCACCTAAACCGAAACTCCAAAGATATGAAGATCAGATTATAATATACTGCATAAATACCTCCAGTAGAAATATTTGTGCTTTTCACATTTTTCCCAGAATTTCTGCAAGTTTTAAATAAAAATCTACTAAATCTTAAAATCATTCACATTTGGAATGTTAGGGCCTACATTCCACCCATAAAGGGCACTTTTATGTTACTTTTCTTTTAACTTCACCATCACTTCCCATGTGTTCTAAATAAATTACTTTAAATACAAGTTTGAAACCAATTCTAAAAGAATGAGGAGATATTAATCATATGTTAGGACACTCTATGGTGTTGTGACCACTGACCCAAAGAAAATGAATGGGTTCTCTGATTCCATTCAAATTCTTTGATTGAACTGTCAAATAGAGCTCTGTTCAAGCCTGATGCTATGAGAGCAATTTTAAAATTTTTTCTATTCAGGGAAAAAGGAAACAGTGAATAATAAGATCTTCGGCTTATACAACTGCCTCATCTTTTAGAGAATGAAATTTTGATCATCATCAGATTGTTTTGTTTGAATATAAATGTTCACCAAATTATGCCCAATTAAGAGTTTTGCATTCTTTAAGGTCTGTCTATTGCAAGACGTAGGACATTTTATATGAGACAGGGCAAAGAGAATGAAATGTGTGCTGCATGGGCACACTCAGCTGATTAATGTTTACAGTACAAAGTCCGTAATCCAGACGTCCATTATCCGCAATGATGTATAATGTGGACCGCAAAGCAACAAACTTATGCATGCGCGTTTGATGCGCGCGTCCGCTACGCATGCGTGTAAAGCCAGTAAAGCGATTACCCATGCGCGCTTCCGATAGTGAAGAAAGTAACAGAGATTATTATTGAAAACGAAAAAATTTCGATTGACAAGTTAATCGGTATACTCGACACAGCAATTACAGGACTTGAACACTGGAACTTTGTACTGAACAAGTAATTATGTCTGTTTATAGAATTAAAGAGAAAGTATCAGCACAAAAAACGAAGTAACTTAAACAACTTACATTGAAAGAAATGTTTACTAAAGTAAACAAATAAATATTAAGCTTTTTCTTTTTGTAAATTTTGATACCCTTTAGATCATAATTGCTCTTTATTTCATAAATTAAGGTTTATATTTTTAATTGTATAATTTCTGCATGCCATCTTACCAGATTTAAATTCATGATCTATAAACCGGAAAAACTCCAAATCCGGAATTGCCGAAGTCCCGACGAGTATTAATATTTAACAATGTTTTTACCCCAAACACTGTGTATAGTGAAGTTTTTGATTAATTTCATGAGTTTTATTTATTTTGTTAACTTTACTGCTCATACTTGCAGAAAGTTTGATTTATGTTGTAAAATAAAACAAAAATAATTGATGCATTATCATTTAATCTTTTAATTATTTATTTGCTATTTAATTTCATTTAATTTTATTACTAAGTCTCAATATATACAATTTTAAATTTAATTTTATTTTTTATATTTTAATTCTCTCATTCTCATTTTTGTACAATTTATACCGGAGTAAGTTTCATTTCGAGATCAAGAGTTTACTGGGTTTTCAAAAATTTACCTTGAAACAATGGTTAATTTTTTTTCATTACTTGAACAGTATCTCTTATATTACCTTTGCAGTAATAGAAAATCAAAATACGCTGCAAATGGTGCTTTTAATTTTTCATATTTAAAGGCGAACACACCAAAAAACTGCCTAGATGGTATTATGCTTATGAGAGTCTGCTGCAGTACTGCAAAGCCTGTGTTTGAATACCAGAGAAGGAATGGTTATAACTGTCCGTCTCTTCATAGGAAGCATCAGTTTGCAGTTTTGCCACTGCTCACTTGCAAATCATTATGTTAATCAAAAAGTCATTAAATTTTACAAAACATGAAATAAATAATAAAACAAATTCAAAATTCAAGCTTTCAGGTGCACATGTTCAGGTGGAGGACTACGTTATGCAAAATTTAATGGCTCTAGGTACAGTCATTTTTTTCATCACAGGAGAAACATATATATTATATACATGCATATTCTTCATTGTTGAATTTATTTAAAAATAATACAGAACTATAATATTTGAGGGCAACAATTTTAAAAAAGATCCACCATTTATAGGGAGCAAACAGAAAATCCAATTTCATCACTAATAGTCCCTTTTAGGCTAAAAATTGCTCAGAATTAAACAAAATCCTTTACAAATAAGTTTTGAAATGCAAACTATTACAATACACAATGACAATGAATTAGGTATAAATTTTATTGAATTAGGAATGAATAGCTTAACAAAATGAAATGAAGTCTAATGAAAGTGACAAGCATTTCTACACAGATTATTGTCAAAAGATTATCATCAATATAACATATTTTTTTCGAAATGGAGATCTTAATTACAGAATTTAATAATATTCCTGTTCTAGAAAAACATTGGCAGGTAGATTGGCATTATTTAGCATATTTTGTTTCAGGCCCACCAGCAGCTGAGGGGCAACGTCGGTCCAGGGTTTGAATCCCACCAATCAAGTTGACTGCATGGTTTTCCCATGTGTAACATGCATACGAGCCAGTTTCGCTTAGAAAGTCCTCCACAAAGGCACCTCTTCCCTTAGGCAGATAGCCCTCATGTGCTTATCATATCAATCATATTTTTTTCTCAAACTGTTAAGGAAATCTCTAAAAATTCTGAAAATGAATAATTTAAATTGCTAAGCACACCACACCAAAAAATTAGTATTAGAAATAGTTTACAAAGCATCAGCCAAACCTACGTTTTAAACAAGATTTAATTTATGATAAATAAACAATATTAAGCAATAAAAACAGAATTAGCTGCCAGTTTACTCACTTGTGGAAGTAGTACACTTGCATCTCTTATATCAGACAGGATTATGTGCCTTAATACATTACGAGGAGTACCTATATATCGAAGTTTCTTCCTGTAATTACAAACAGAAACTAATTTACAATAAAAAACATAGAGAAAGTAATTGATTTTTAAAACATAATTTATTTCTCCAGATACATTTGCATGGTTTAAAACAATAAGTTAAACTCGCTTTTATAGATAATCTATTCACTTTTCGGTAGACTTACTTATAAAAATGCAAATATACTCTAAGAAAACTACCTGAGAAGTGTTCAACATAATTAAATTAATTTTCTTCTTTTTCATTACTGCTAAACACAATTGAATGTTTTTCCTTTTAAATTTCATGCATCTTCACTTCATTCAGAATAATAAAAGTAAATAAACAAACATTAATAATTAAAATTTCATTTTGTTTGAGATACGTTACCATGCAAATATTATATTTTTAATTTTCTTCAGAAATCTATTTTCATTTAATTTATTTAACTATGAATTTAAAGACAAAAAAAAATAAAATAAAGCGAAGAACTTATGCTTTTGCATAGAAGTTTTAGAGTCAAGTTTTGGCTTAAAAAATGTGATTGTTTTACTTTAATTAACTCTTCAACAAATTTCTAATTAGAAGTTTTGGATAACTTAACTCATAATTACATCATGCAGTACTAAAATAAGCTAATTCACACTGTTAAATGCAAACATTTATTGGTGATGGTTTTCTTTATAAAACAAAACATAAAAAAATTCTTTTTAGAATTCAGCTTGAATGAAACATGAATTCATTGGAAAATGAGTACTTTACTTGACTAAAATATTAAATAAGTACATATTTAAAAGATTAAATATTAAACAAGTACAGATTTATCAGAAAGCAAAATTTTGTTATTAACAAAAAGATTCATAAACACATTTCCAGATAATGTACAGTTTTTGATAGAAATTGCACTAAATTTGGAATATAATTGAAAGGAGTAATACAGAAACTATATATGACAGTTAACATTATTGATAGCACACACTTGCTTGCGTATGGCAGGAAAAGTAGTAATATAAAACTTAGACACACTAAAATATTCAGCTAAATCCCTAAAAATTAGGGGCACTGGCCCAATGAAGAGGCTTCCACATTTTACTATTACACTTATCTTTAATCAAGGTAAAATCAAGATTCTAAGAAATCTGAAATCTTACCTAGCTTTTTCAGCTATCGATAAGTAATATTGGTTTTACTTATTCACAAACAAGTGCATAAAAAATATTTTTAAATGTAGTATGTTATAAATGTAGTATTTTAAATGTAGTAGTTTTTAAATGTAGTATGTTTAAATGTAGTATTTTAAATGTAGTATGTTTAAATGTAGTATTTTAAATGTAGTATGTAGTTTTAAATGAAGAGGCTTCCACATTTTACTATTACACTTATCTTTAATCAAGGTAAAATCAAGATTCTAAGAAATCTGAAATCTTACTGTTATCTTTTTCATCTATCGATAAGCAATATTTGTTTTACTTATTCACAAACAAGTGCATAAAAAATATTTTTAAATGTAGTACACTGATGGAAAATGAAATCCTAAAATCAAAAAGAAATTTGTTTAGAGAAATGAAAAGCATGCAAAGCATTTATCTACATAACATAGGTATTTATTTAATGCTTCAATGTCACAGGTATGCATGAGAAGTATGCATGAGAAGAGTTATTTCAAATGTGAAATGGTGGAAAATTAATAACCACTGTAATCACCATGACGTTGAATGCAATGTGATGATGAAAGTAAACATGCATGTGTTCTAAAAGTGCCATATATCAATTTTGTGGGATGGATTGCCATGCCCATTGAACTTAGTCAATCAAATTAGCAATGGCCCATGCTGACTGTAGAAGCCACTGAACTTGTTCAACCATGTCCCATATATGTTCGACGGGAGAAATATTGGGTGATCTTGAAGATCAAACAACATGTTGAGCATGCTGGATGACAGCAATGTTATGGGGATGAGTGTTATCCTGTCAAAAAATGCCCCCTGGAATATTGTTCAAGAACTGCAGCACAGTTGGTGCAATCAACAAATTTGCTGTCAAAATGTGTGGGGTAATGATGAGCGTGCTCCTGCAGTCATAGGTGTTCACTCCCTAGACCATAACTCCTGGTTTATGTTCAATGTGTCTACACTACAAACAGCTTGATTTCAAGCACTCACCTGGCCTAGTTCTAAGCAACATTAAGGCCATCACTGGCACCAACATGAAAATGACTCTCTTCTAGAAAACACAACAGATGTATCCATCTTTCAGTGAGCTCTAGATTGATTACTGAAGTCAGAAGCCCCTTACAAAGCATCTAACTCAGAGCTATCCATCATGCATTCAATTTGTTAAAGCCCACTGTCTTATTTTCGTGCTAACGAAAGCTTGAATGTTTGCTGCAAATGCAGTACAATGTACCAAAAACATGCAGCAAATTCCCTTTGAGTGATGGCATGCGTGTTACCAGATTTCAGACGTCTTGTGCCAGCCCGCATGCACACTGGATACATCCCCCCCCCAAGTTTTTTTGCAATATCATGAAAAGAAAATCCACCTTCTTATAGTCATATCACATGTCCTTATTTAAACTCAGTAAGCTGCTGATATTGCCTTCTTCATCTGATTAAAGGCATTCTTGACTCAAATTTTACTCACAATGCAGTCAATCCAGAAGATGAAAACAGTACACAAAGTTTACATTGCATATTTAAAACAAACATAATTTGCATGTTCACAATGGTCTACTAGTGCTATACTTATTCGTCTAGCACAATATGTAAATAGACATGCCTCTAACTAGCACAACAGACATGCATCAAACATGCCTCTAACTAACACAACTCCTTCTGATATTGGAATTTCATTTTCCAACAGTATAGATACTTCAATTTTCATAAGTGTTACATATATCTCTAAGTCTCTCTTCTGCTACTCAGTTTTTGCTGTTAGAGACAGCATAAGTTTTTGGTAACACATATCGCATACTCTAAATGTAATATTAAATGTCATATTCAAACTTATTTTCCAACTATTTATGGATATGCATCATTAATTAATATAATTAGTATTTAAAATTAAAAAAAAAAAAAAAAAAAAGAGAGCCTTTTAGAACAGAACTTTTTAATTCACGTTAGTTTCCCTGTGCATACAGAATTCATTTCCTTTTTAATTTTTTTTTACATAAATAACTACCCTATAGTTGACATAATGCTTTCACACAGAGAATCTCATCTTAATTTTGCAACTGTGTAATCCATCACAACATTTATAGCACATGCATTCTATCCTTTAAAATACTTTGAAATGCATACTTTTCACTACACTCAGCAAAATAAGGATCACCCTTTTCATGCCTTGCAATTACTTCATGTACTTGTCTCTCTACCCAAAAGATAACATCTTGAGATCTCCATAAAGAATGTGTTCTACCAATGTACAAGGTCAATAACTGAACTAGAGCCGAACGATCACTGGAAAATACATATATTAACATCATATTCCATATATTTATTTACATTTATTACATAAGATAAGAAAATTTATTAAATGAATTACAACATATGACACACTATAACTCTTAAATCATTCATCAACAAGGGTGTCAGTATTTTTTATGATAGTTAAGAATGTCAAAAATAAGGATCTGATATATATATACATGAATATAAAAAAATAACACATTTGTATTCTTAAAAGAGCAAACTATTAACAGAATGTTATTAGCCTTTTCTGCCTCATAATTTTTATTGTATAAACAACTTTATTAGCAGAGAATTTTGACTACTAAAAGTAGGCAGTCAGATTCTCTTGAGATGCAGAAAACTTTTTTTCTAAATTGAAATTAAAGCTAAAACTGCCTTGAGGTTCTTCTGGTTGGCGTGCTTTTTTTATAACTACTCTATTTACTGTATTTAATGAGTTAATTACATTAATCAGAAAACACCTATGTAAAAATTTACTTAGGTGAAATAAATTTTTAACTTGAAATTGAGGATTAATTTATTTAACTATATAATTTAATCAAAGGTTAAACTTCACTTGAAGAAGAAAGAAACTTTTTTTATTGAAGGCTTATCATTTAAAGAAAGTATATTGCACATTGCACATCACAGTGAAATATTAAAAAAAAAAAAAAAAAAGCATTACTTTGTGTTTTGAAAGAAGAGATGAGACAGCACAGCTTGGTCAGGTTCTATGTTACATCGATTCAACATAGGTAATAAAAAACCAGGAAACATGATAAGAGCATCTTGAAGCTAAAATGAAAGACGATTAGGAGAGTTTGTTTTGAAAGGCAATAATGCATTTTTTTACACAAAGGATATTAATTTACTATATATCCCATTCTAAAATTTTTAACAACTTATGCCCCATTTTTAAATAGGCATACTGTTTAATGTACTCCCAGTTTTTTCAGTTACACATGTAAAAATTCCTAAAAAATAACAAATAAATTACTACACATGAAACTACTTCTTTTCGTACATGTATTATTTAACAAAGCAGTAAATTACTTATGGAAAAATATTTGCTTTTGTATCTTTATTTTATATTTAATATCTTTTGTAACAAAAAAATTCTGATGTTAAAAAGAGATAACAAATGAAAAAAGTGCTGATTTATATCACTGAATTCAAAACAGCAATTATCATAAAAAGTTCTCAATGTTTTATACACTTTTTTTTATTTATATCTATGCATAGTAGATAAATATATTTCAAATTATGAGCAATAGCTTAAAGACAGAAATTAGGCCTGCAGTTATACTGATTACTTACATCATGGTTTATTCATGACAGGGAAAAAAAATTAAATGAAGAACCTAAAGAAAAATTAATTATAAAAAGTCTAAAAACAAAGCAGTGACTTGCAAATTAACAAAAAATTATTATCAACAGACTAAAAATAGATACAGAAAACTTAATGCGCGTGAAGCAAAACATTAAAAATTATTATTATTACCTTACCATTAAATCTGCTTCACTGGAAGATTCTCCATTCTCAACAGCAAGCAAATACATAGCTAAAGGTACTGAAAATGCAAAATTTGGTAGCTGGAAAAGATTTCGAGTTGGGTTCCATTCCTGATACAGCTTTATTAAAAATTCGTACTGGGATGATCGAATGGCATAGTAATCGATCATAAGAATTACTCCTAGAGGATCTTCTGGGTCTAAGCTATTAAATACAGCAAATATTTAAATATGAGCAACTGCATTCAAATTTTATTAGAACATAATAAATAACAAATGAAAGTGAAAGAAAGAAGCATAACTATTTAAAAATCTATACTAGATAAGAATATTATTTTATGTACTTCTGTCTTAGTATATATAATACTAGAACCTTAAAAAATTTGTCTTAATTATTAACAATAAAATTTGGAAAGATATTCTTTTCATTAATTCCATATTAACATTAATGATAGGACTTCTCACCACTAATTTCAGGTTTAATCTTTTTTATGACAAGGAGTTAACCACGGTCATGTAAGCTCAGAAGGTCATGATCTAACATTATAAACTCTCTCTGAACACTCTGAAGAGTATGTATACAACATGCAAGTGGCTGTGGCTGTCATTGTATGTATAGATCACACACATAAGTTCTTGTATGTATAGATCATGAATAAGACGTTTTAAGACTATGCTTTCTTTATCATTATTAGTTGTAGTTATCATTATTAGTATCAATAAAAACAGCTTGAAGCTGTATTCCCGGATGCCATTTAAATAATGACAAAGCTGTCACAAACACATATTTTGTATTCAAGTTCTCTAAAGACATAAGAACAAACTGGTGCAAGAAAACTCCAAGGAAAGATTGGTCATCATCTGCAAGAATGTTGTGTTGGAATCAGATATATAAGAATTGATGAACTAGCAGAAAGAGGTGGCACCATCTTAAAAGTACTAAAAAAAGATCCAAAATTGAAAGAACATGCCTGTCCATCCATACTCCTTAGCTTCCCTAAATATCTGACGAAAACAAACCTACTGCAAAAACAAGTAATCTGAAAGAAGCTTGCGAAATCAGATAAACATGCTTTTAAGCATTTTTTAATCAACGATCAAATCAAAAGCTTATTGATTATTCTGAAAAATTGGAGCAACAAGTAAATTCATTCAATTTGATTTCAAAACCAACTGTACTTAAAAATGATGATTATATATTTTTAGTGAATTTAAACTTTTTATCAGAACCAAGTGTACTTTGAAGCACAAGAAACAATAATATGAGTTTAAATATTTTTCTTGATGACATTTCTTTTCCTATATATAAGTATTCTAGGCATCAGTAAGTATTCTAAATAATCCAGATAATAATCTTTTGCAATGCAGTGAAATGGAAAATATAAGTTTCATTAAAAATCGTTAAAAATTTAATTAAACGAAGTCCTTCCTAGTGAAAAAGAAAAGTCTGTGTATCATGGGGGGAAATATAGTTCTCCAGATGAAGATATGTATGATAATAGAAAATTTATTTTAGAGCAAATAAAGTTAGGTGTTAAATTTAAAATGGCTCAAAGGTACAGCAATGAATTTTTAGTTTTCACATGTTCTTTGTTATATGATAGTGGTTTATTGTCAGCACGATCAATCAACCACTTAAATAAAATGATGAGTGCAATGTATAGCTAATTTCAACCAATGAATATGCAGAAGGCACTACTTCTCTGTCAATGAGGTGCCAAAAATCAGTTTTTGTAATGTAAAATGTATTTTAATAATACAGTTTTAGTTAAATGCAATAAAAAGTAAAATTAGTTTTCTACCTATCATAATATTCTAAATTATATTTGAATAAATATAAAATCCAAATATAAGAACAGTAATGGGACATTAGAAGAATTTCAAGCAGCAATGAAACTAATAGCATAGAAATGACACACACACATATATGCATATAATTAAAAACTACAATCTACACTCAGTTTCTTAGATTTTTCTTCAATAATTTTGCTTTTAATCATTACTGATAACTTCACAATTTTAATTTTAGTCACACATAAACAAGGATATTGCAATAATTAAAAAGAATTATCTGTGCCATTATACTATTGCCATTGTAAATCAAAAAGAATTTTCTATTTATATTTTAATTGTACATTGTAGTAATTGTATTAATTTATTACTGTAGTAATTGTATTTTTTTTTAACTTATTTTTTTATTTTCACAAATAAAGCCCTTTTTAAGATTTTGAGATATAACTTGAAAAATATATATTAACTTTCATGTATATGAAGTTTTGATTTATTAAGTTTTTTCTGCCTTAAGAGAATAATTCCACGATCCTATGAACTTTGGGGGGGGGGATTCTAGTACTTCAGTCAGTTTTAAAACATATACAAAAATTTCCTCTTAAAATTTTATTTCTTTCTAAGATTTAATTAAAATAATCTTCATTTTCACAATAGTTTTTATAAATTATAAATATTAAATATGTAATTAATTTTGAGTCTTGAACTATTTAAGCTTTTAATCCTTTAAATCTCACTCAGGAAGCATTGATAATTTTCTTATTCTGCATGTTAGCTTGTGAGTTAGTAATCTTAATTTTAGTTTGAATTACATTAAACTTATGCACCTATCTCAGTCATTTACCAACTTTGTGCCGATTTAGATTGATCTCTAATGCTAATATATAAGTCACAGTAGATTACAAACCTGAGCAAAAGTTTACAAAATTCCAAAGCTGTGCGATTACATCCCCTTTGGCCAACAAACATCAAATGCTTAAAGAGAGCAATAAAAAATGACCTATAAAAATAATGCATTTCATTTTAAAATGTATATATAAAGTCATTATTATATTACCTATTAATAAACTGTTATCAAACAAATTGCTAAATGGCAGTATTTCACAAGATAATAAGCAGAAATATATATACTACAATATCACAGGAAAAGTGGAGGAAGTTATAACTTCAAATGATATAAAAAGTAAAAATATCATAGTGGAGGAAGTTATAACTTCAAATGATATAAAAAGTAAAAATACCATAAAAGTGTAATAAAAATTATCATACAGCTACCTGCACAAAGAATCATGCATCTTGGTTTCACCAAGACAAAAAATTTGCATGAAATATTTAAAGATGGGATATAAAAATTAACTAACATATAATTTTCTTAATTCATTATCAAGTAATGAATATTAATTACAAAAATTACTATACATATTTTATAAGTAAAAAGATGTTTATGTAAGAAATATTTCATTCATTTTACCAATGCTTTTCATACTTGCTCTTATGCAATTTTTTAAAATGAATGTTACATAAATATACTGGGAAGTGGGATTTAATTAAGACAATAAGCATACTTTGTAAGTATTTCAGTATGTATAGAATCAAGAATACATATAGATTACTTACTAAAATATTTTAATTTTATTCCTTTTTAAAGTGACTGTATTTGTAATAATTTTCAACTCAAAAAATTAATTAAGAAACTGAAAATTCTACTTTTGAGAACCCAAGTATAAGTAGCACAGCATTTTATAGCATTCAAAATAAAAAAATTTTATGATGTTCTTAGAAATTTCAAAGCAATATTAGTTTTTGATTTACAGGAATCATAAATATTTAGGGAAATAAGGGAATAATTTATTTAAATTTTATCTGATTATAAACTCTTAAACACAAAGGTTTTTATATTTCATCAACTTCATCATAATCACAATTGCAAAATATTTCATTCATGTATTAAAATTATATTGTGTTGATACAGCTCAGTCAAAAGCAAAAAAAGAAAGCAACACAATAATTGTTTTTATAATCCTGCTCTCGTATTCAGAAAGCAAAAGGGTCCAATCTGTGATTAATCAGGTACAAAATATCTAGATGAATATGAGCTACAGTCTCCTAAAAAATTCTAATTTCATACATATCATTCAAAAGAAAAGCAGTTATGGTGGACTATTTTGAACCTTATTTAACAATGAAATTAACATACTCTCTGGAATAATGCAGTAAACTTTAGTTCTTAATGGAAATGGCTTTACAACGGAACTTTGGACCATGAACAAATCAGTTCATGAACACATTTTGCAAACGAAAAATGTCTTGGATGGCAAATGTCTCGAGATATGAACAAGTAAGCTGACAACAAATGACACACCAAAATGCAGTTAATGCACTGGATGAAATGTCTTTGGAAAGAAGTCAGAAGGGAGCCTGTTACTAGTTATTTGATCTGTAAAATTTATGCAAAATGGGATAAGGTTCAAAAATTCATAAAACATTATCTTCATAAGGCAGTAGTAAGCAGTGCTATAAATATTTGCCACGACGATGTCAAGTCTTGCTTTTCAGAACACTTTAAAACACAGACAGAAACAAATAACATGAAACAAATTTTTGATGGGATAAAGGCTAAGCAATTTTGAAATAGAGGCAGGTGGTTTTAAAAGAAAGAGAAAAGAAAAAGAAAAAAAAAATTATATTTTTATGGAGCAGGATTTCCATTTCAAAAAATAACATATTGCCTTTTGGCTTCTTCACACTTTTCTGCTTATACTGACATATGATATAATTCAGGTTTTTCTATTTTTTTATATATTTAGTAGTAAGTTAAAAATTATGTACGAGTTAAGATTTTATGAATTACATCAAATTTCCTTTACGAATTTACATACTCTTTTCTGTAAGTACTATTAAGTACTCTTTTCTGATAATAATAATAAATATTCTGATAGTCTTTCTGATAAAATAATGAATTGAACTTGTCTGAGGTTTCCCAAAATCTCTCAAAAGTCTGATTCATGAAATCTAGACTGAAGGAATAGGGTATAGAAAACTGTATGTGCTTTAAAAGTCCAAAATGTTAACGGAAGAGGTAAAGCAAAGATAGAAAGCGCACTTAACGGAAGAGGTAAAGCAAAGATAGAAAGCACACTTAACTACGGAGTGTCCAGAATTAAAGAATCCTATCTAAAAGCTGCCTAAAGGTGAAATTAGTCATCAGAGAACTACAATTTTGCAGTGGACTTAATGAACAGATGGGAAAGGTCTTTCAGCAAAAAAGAAATTAGTTACAAATATCAACATCAGAGAGTATTATATTGATAAATTACACATTTAGCCACACTTTTACAATTTTATTACAGCAAAACACATTCCCACATGACAACCATCATTTTCAGTTACCATCTGAAGCCGCAACATGGCATGCTCTACAGTTGACTGAAGTGTCTGCTGGAAAATGTTCAGCTCATGGTGTGAAATGCTGACATTAAGATCAGGTAGAGTTCTTGGATTGTCCTGACTTACCAGATGTTCCAAGTGCTCCCAAGCGGCCGAGCGGTAAAATCGCTGAACACTGGTAGTTCGGTCCAAGGGTTCGAATCCCGCGAACGGGCTGGCTGCATGGGCATTTTCGTGGTTTTTCCCTATGTGTAACGTGTATACGAGCCAGTTTCCCTTAGAAAGCCCTCCCCGAAGGTATCCCTTCCCTTAGGCAGATAGCCCTAGTGTGCTTTGCCATAATTAAATAAACCAAACCAAACGCTCCCAAAGCCAAAAACTGCAGAGACTGTGGTCTGGGATTCGTGGAGGCCACACACTATGAAGGTGGTAGCTGATGACACATTCTTCTATAAAATGGCATTCCAGGACATTCATAACACACCATGCAATGTGTGGAGAAGCTCCCTTTTTCATAAATATTGTGCTTGCAAGGCACTGACACACTTGCAGAGCCGAAAAATTTTTGTTCTCTAACAGCGGTGCATATTGCTACCTGGTGATCGCACATGTCATTGTATCTTTAGAACTTAACTCCTTGATGAAGTGCAAACTGAAAATAATACAGAATGCAGAAAATCCCCCACCATGCCATCAGTTTTTTTCTTTTGCGCATGTCATTCTAGTGGTTTCTCACTGTGAAATCGAAAAAGAATTTCTATCACTTTGAAGAAAAAGTGAAGACTTCTGTCGAAAAAACGTATTTTATACATTAAACTTTGGGCGGTAATGGGTGGCGTACCAGGGCCAGATAAATATCTGGTTTGAAACGGACGTTTGCTGGAATCCTTTTTATGGAATTGAGTGAAGAAAATTTTTAGAAGATTGATTAATAAGCTCATGAAGAATGACTTGATGTAAAGCGAATTATTAGAGCTTGTGTGGATGTCCACAATCTGTCCTGTCCTGCCCACAGGCATTATTTTATACTGCCCATTATGGGTACATTATTGCATGATGCTTTGTTTTGCTGGATTTGATCGAATTTGATTTTTGTAACTAGAATGAGATCTTAATATTTATAGCGTATATAGATTTTAAGTACTTTATTGTTTTGTATTTTTGAGAGAGTTCAATTGTAATTGTATTTGATAACATAAAAGTTATCTAAGTTATAGCGTATATAGCCTACCTATTAGTGTTGGATGTAACGCTTTTTGAATTTTTAGTGTTTTTCTTCTTTTGTATGGTTTTTTGTATTTTCTTGAATGGTTTATTGTATTCTTTCTTTGGTATGATGTTTCTCTTTCGGGTTTTTTTTTTTTTTTTTTTTTGTGTGTGTGTGTGTTGAATGTTTTTTGTGTGTTTTAATTTTTTTTAAGTAGTTTGAAGTTCTGTAGGGTCATTGTAAGTCCGTGTTAAAACTACTTGGGTAGGTGCACGGCAAAACCCCTGTAAAGCCTTTTAAAACTGCCCCGCGGCAGGTGAAGGTGCTTAGGACTTGTGGGCACTCTATTTTTTCACAAAAATTCATGCTTAGAGGTTCTCCTGGTGTTTGAACCTTCTGAGAACTTAGTCTGTGAAATATTGATTCTGAACTTTGAAATATTGTAAATTTTATGAAATTGTCTAAGTTCTCTTTTTGAACTATAAATTTTAAAGAATCTGGATATGTTATTTATGTAAATTTTATTCTTGACTTGGAACCCGATATCCGAAATAGGATCTTCGAAATTAATATGGCCGGCTCAGATAAGAATGAATCAAGGGAGGAGGATTCCTTTGATAAAATTTTAAAAGAGACTGATAGTATAAATGTCATTGTGAAAGAGATGTACACAATTATTGATAACATTAAATCTGAGAGAAAAATTGCCATTGTATTGCCAGATAAATTGATATGTGGGCTTGATAAAATTCTGGAATTGGCCACAGTGCAAAAGTTGCGAATGTTGGAGATGGAGATGAAGACGAATTCGGATTTGGATATGATGGACCTTAAGAATGAGATTATTGATCTAAGAATGATTGTTGAAAAGGGTTTTGAGAACATGTCCAAAAAGGATGATGCTGGTATAAAAAGGATGATGCTGGTATACAGTTCAAAATTTTTTATATGACCTCGCCAGTGTACGAAATGCTGGTCCTTTGGCCATATAAGGAGGTTTTGTAAATCTGATATGTGTTGTAGACGTTGTAAATCTGATATGTGTTGTTCTGATACACATTCTGAGAAAGAGTGCAATAACGATGCTAATAAATGCGCTAACTGTGAGTTTTCTAATAAGAAATACGGAACTAAGTTTAATATATCTCATGAGGCCAACAATAGACATTGTCCATGTTTGATTAGAGAAATAGATTTTATTAAAGATCATTTGGACATTGATGTCAATATGAGAATTTAATCTATTCGTACTTGGTTCCATGATTTTGTATACATGTTTTTAATCAAAATATTGCTTTTATTGTGTTTTTATGCTGATGATTTTAATATGGTAATTTTAAGCTTGAATTCTAATCATTGTTCTTTAACTGCCTCCCAGCTCCCTGTTATTGATAATATTCTGGGAT